CTTTTGCTGGGGGTATGGAATACCCCCCAGGCCATCCCGGTGACCCCCTCCCCCCAGAATATAGATCTAGGACCGCCGTTGTCTGGTTTAAACTTATGAAGTCAATTGCCTCTTCTGGCCCATCAACTGCTGAGTGGACTGATCATCATCAGTGCTGTTCAACATACGATGGAACTGTGACACTATATGAAGTGCATACCTTTCATACGGAATAGATAACTCAGAGCGTTTAGATTTGTCATAGGCGAACGTTTTACGATGTACTATAGTTAATTTCGTTGATGCAAGGTTGCACAGAATATTTTGAAAATTATTGCCTCGTTAACAAGTATAACGACAAAGTTCCAATACTTATTGCTTACTAACAGATTATTGTCAATTTTCAATGTTTATTTAGTTGACCTGAGTTCGACAATCTGTCACTTTGGATTGAAATTAAACGTGTAGGCCTACATCATAAAACATGATTTAAAAATACAATACACAAGTTCGGTGAAACATATTATACGGTTGAAAAATCCTCATGAATTACATTGCTAAACCAATAATCTTGTGCTTCTCATTCACTCAGTGAGTGTTGATTGGAACAAAGAGCGCGAAGTGTGGCGAGAAGGACTGTTGGTGAACTTGAAGGTAGCCAAGCGACGCCAGATAGCGCTATCATCATGTCCCGTAAACTTCACACTTTATTGTTAAGATATAGCTTAAACAGACATTATCACGTCTTCACACCTGACAAACACATTTGATAAAGGTCTATTATTTTTAACAAAGCTGAGATACAACGAACACATTAACAAATTAATTCCGGGGTAACAAAAGGTCCCTGGACGGTTAAATATTTAAACTCTACAAAGATAACTTTGAAAAAAGTTAATGTGCATTAAATTATTTAAATACATTATTCAGTGATAGGATCATCCCTTAAGGAATGAAAGATTGCAACTCATTTGCAAAATATCACGTTTATCATTTACAGAGTGGTTTTACCTTCCCCCTATGTTTTTCTACATTTTATATACAGGATATTCAAAAAAAGGTGGGGACATAATTTACGTCGTGATTTCTTTGGTCAAAATAAAGAGAAAAAATCACCTGTAAAACTTTTTCCAAAATCGCTTTGTTAACTAGATATTCAACATTTTGTATTTTTTACATAAACACTTTTATCTTTGGAAACTTTCAACCTATCTTTATGAAACTTAGTATGTATGTTAAGGTAGCAGAGACCCATGTAAGAAAAGTTATCTTGATTCAACTTAAAATTTCCAAATTGTGACCATTTAAATTATTTAAACTTAAATTGCTTAAATATGACTGATTTTATGAAAAAAATGTCAGTAACACTTTTATTAAACATTTAAGTTCCCTATGCAACGACACCAAATTAAAAATATCGAATAAAATATTACTTAAATACCATGATTTTTAGGTATTGACTAGATTAACCTTATTCTATCCCATTTTGCAATTGAAAATCGTGATATTTCAGCTAATAATAGAAACAAAAGTATTTAATTTATTTTATTTTGCACGCTACAAAACATAATACAAATCCCATTTACATTGTAGCACTATACTAGTTTGTTCAAAAATTGAGAACATGCTATGAGTTCATAAAATTGAATAAAGTGAATCGTTCATAGACTAAGAATAATCAATATTAATTATTAAATAACAACAATAAATAATAGTAATAATAAGTAACAATAAATAAGAGTGACTAAGAATAACACACATAAATAAGATAAATGACCATTTCAAACAAGTTTAAAAGAGTGTGGTAAGATACGTCGAATGTGAAGTATCCAAACTTCTTGAAAAATAAATATCTAAGGAATTTGATTTGTATTTGCTCAATCATGTTGGCAAGATAGGTTTGATGAGGATACCACACAGTTGCTCCAAACTCACGTTTAGGCCTACCAGGGTGCAATATAAAAGTTTGAGGCTGTAAATGTTGGTTATAAAACTTCCCGATCTGAATATGAAGTCAAGAATTCGATACGCTGATCTACAAGACTCGATTACATGATTAGAAAAAGACAACTTGCTATCAATTGTAACACCAAGATCTGTGACACTACTTTGACTACCCAGTAAATTACCATTCATGGAATATTAGAAGTTAACAGCGTTGTGAGTGCGTCTGGTGTAACTGACAACAAAACATTTATCTGAATGGAATTTTAAACCCACATCACTCCAAGCCACTAGTCTATCCAGGTCTTGTTGCAATAGAAGACAATCACTAACGTCGTTTATTTCTCTAAAGATCTTTAGATCATCAGCATAAAGAAGGACTTTACTATTCAACACACTGTTAACGATGTCATTAATGAAGATTGTGAACAATAAAGGGTCAAAGTTCGAACCCTGGGGAACCCCTGAAGATGCAACAAATTCAGAAGATGAACTTCCCTGAAAATGAACAAACTGTTATGTTATGTTCTGTTATGTAAGTAGGTCGAAAAAAAACGCAAACCATTGCAGGAGATGTCAAGATAATTCAGTTTTGATAATAGTAATAGATGGTTGTCTTTGTCAATCGCTTTTTCAAAATCAGTATAAATGACATCAACCTGACCTCCTTTGTCCAAAGAGGAAATACAAAAATCGGAAAAAATCATCAGATTATCTATCTGGAATAATTATCTGTCCTTTGATATTGATATGTTCCACTCAACCCAGTCATTCTCTCAAATTAGTGGAGACAAAGAAAAACAGTTTCCAATTAATTTTATAGATTGATTTATAAATTATAGAAATAATATAGGAGAGAGGGACTTAACCAATTCGTAGTTTTTCGAACCTAAGCCCTCTGTAGAAGGCAACATTAAAAATTAAGTTAAGGAAAATGTTTCCAATTTCTTTTTTTATATAAAAAATTCATGAAAAATAATCATTCTTGATTGCATATACGTGTGAGTGGTACTTACTGAGGCACAGCACCGCTGTATATTGCAGGGGTAGTGGTTGTGTGTAGGGCGGAGATTAGATAGATACTGAAGGCGCACCTCTAACCTCACGCTTTATATACACAATTAACTAACTTACGTGTGTCAAAGCAGCCACACGCTCATGTGATCCGTAACTCTCGGATAACTAACTAAAGGTCCAATAACTCAGTAACTCACGCTGCTTTGAACTCTGTGTCGCTTTGTAAGGCAATAGCCCTGAGGCGGAGCTGAGAACGTAAGAAAGTGACAAGTTTGGAACATTAACCTGTGTCAAGACATGTTAATTTAATGTTAGAGTAAATATGTTTCGACAATTAAGTTAATTTATTTCAACCTAAATTAACAATGTATACGATGAATTGTTTGCCCGTATTTAGAGGTTCTGTAGAAATGCACCAATTTGTACATTGTAAAGCTTGAGGGATAAGGAGAAGCTAACGGATTCGATATATACATAGACATATTTTAATCACGAATAAAGTAGGCCTACAAATACAATGCGCATCTCAATCGTCAAAGAAAGTGCATCTAGTAGATAAGTTTTTTGTATATATAAAATATAGGTACCGCGTGTTTCAAAATGAATAGCCGGGTTTTAACGCTTTATAACTTTTATACTATTAAACTTACCGCTATAAAATACACATAAAATGAAAAAAGCAACTCAAAGAGTTCATGCCTTCCAAAGACACATTATTTAACAAAATGGATTCAGTAGAACTGTAGATTTAATTGTCCAAAGTTAAAAAGTAATTTCCAACTTTTTTCACCACTAGAAATTCGGAGGTTGCTAAAAATAAAAAAGTGTGAAATTTAATGTTTGCTATGTCTATTGTCTAAATTGAAGACGGGGATTAAAAAAAGTAGTTTTGAGGCAATTTTTGGTACCTTTATTGACAATTTTCAAGAAATGCATAGTAGTAAATTTTAATAAATTTTATTATCCTTCGGATTAATACCTTCCACTTTGGTCGATTTTCTTCCCATTTAAAAGTTATTTGGAAACACGTCAAGCAACCTCCGAATTTCTAGTGGTGAAAAAAGTTGGAGATTACTTTTTAACTTTGTGCAATTAAATCTACAGTTCTGCTGGATCGATGGTATTTATGTATGGGCCTATTCACTGATTCGGATTGATTTTATACTACAGTAATGTTATTTTAGATGTTTGATATTATTAGTAATTTATTCAATTTATTGTTTTAGAGGAATGGCTTAGAATATAGATAAATAACTGCTGAATAACAGTTGTAGCTTTCAGTGCAACCACGAAAATAATTTAAAAATACTTAATATATTTTCTTAAAACTTGTACCATAGATGATTACCTAAAACCATAGATGGACTAATATAATTATTTCAGTTCATCTTATTTAGTACTTTTTTTATCCTGCAAAAGTTATTAATGTTGAAAAAAACAAACTATACACTTAAGGTGAATTGTATCTGCCAACTAACCGAATAAGAGGAAGGGGATGACTGTATGAAGTACCAGTGAACCGACAATATCATTTCAACTATCAAAAAGTAGTAGGCCTATGTCAAAAACATTATAAAATGTTATTATAAGGTAATAAAGTAACTGGTTAGGAGAAAAAAAATAAAATTAGGTAGGCCTATATTCATAAATATACGAGCTAAGCAACCAGACCCTTCTACTGATAAAGAAGTTTAATATAAGGCCTGTAAATATTATAAGCCAAAAAGACAAAAGTTATTTAGATTACTATTGTTGGGTCACTAAACCAATCAGTTGTTATAAAACATGCGATCAAAGCCAGGTCGTAATAGATAAATTATTTCATGTTTTAAAAAAAAGTACTACTGTATGAACCATGCCTTAAAAACTTTAGTTAAAATAAATTTGTTTTCCATCCATACCAAAAAAAGTAAATAAGCCCTTTAGTTTTAAATACAAGTCGTATTAACCAGTTTTCTATCTACATACAATCACATCATTGAATAGGCTCTAGTACGAAAAAGATTCCAATTTCTCATGAACCGAAAGATTAATTTCTCACAACACAACCCCAGTCCTACCTGTATATGCGGCGGTCGGAGCGGCGTTCGTCTGAGGACGAGATTTTCTAGAACCGCTTTATATAACCACGAAACTCCTCCCCGACTCACCAATTTACTTAGCGAGGGTTAGAAACAAAGGTTTGTATGTTAACAAGGGTGTTTAACGATCAGTGTGAATCGGGCTGATTAAAACCCGCCTCAAGTGATTGCCCATTCTTTGGCATTATGTACTTTTCTCCGTGTTCATTGTATAAAAATGGGTTTTCAGAAATTTACCCCAAATTAACCCAGATTGACAATTTTTGTCCTCGGATCACAATGTATGTTCAATCAAGTTTATTGTACTGAGACTCATAATTAATAATATTCAAGGGGTAGGCTATTATTTTGTTAATATGAAGATTATGTTTTCTAGGAATAAGACCCCAAAATAAAAACTCTGAAGGAAGAAAAACATTTTCTCAGTCTTACTTACTAGTCCGATACAAACATAGTTTTAAATACAATTTAAAATCTCTTTTGCCACAGCTCAAAAGTTTCAAGACTCAATTTAAATGCTGCATAAACATTAGGTTTACCTTATGGTTTCTAGGTTCTTGAAGTATATGGGATATTCAAGAACCAGGAAACCATAAGGTAAACCTACACAATTTATTGATTGTTCTTGAGATTGGGAGTACTACACTAATTGTAAGAAAATGGTTAACAAGTTGTATATCAATAATCCACAATTAAACAATAAACAATTAACCAGTATAATTCAATCACATTTATAAACATAGTATAAACAATACTGAAATATTATTAGTAAAAATAATTATAAAGTAGGAAGCTTGTTATAGATAAATATCCTCGCCACCATTAAGGAAACATGTATGTAATAAATGTAACCGTGGAGAAAAAAGTAAACTTAATTATTCTGTGTTATTGTCTCGGTACTTTGATTAACAATTTTTTATGTTAATTTATGATGATTAGTACTTTCAAAATATTTTTAAATTATTACTCTATCGCCAAAACTATAGCCCACATTCCAGGATTAACAAGTAAAAAATGCATTACGCTCACGATTATGTGAATTTTCGGAGCAATATAAATTTTAAGACATCTTCAAGTAGGAAAATAGCCCAAGAATCTCTTCATACAAATTCCTAACTGATTTTTATAAGTATATTTTTACAAAATTATAAACAAAAATCTTAAAAATGTAAAGGTTTTAAATGGGATTGCATCAACCAATTTTGAATTAAAAAAAACCAAAATGTATGAGGGCTTATTTGTAACTCCTTGATACTAATTTTAATGAGTGTAGAATTGTATATAAAAGCTGTAATGAAATATTACTGAAACTACATAAAAAATAATGATGCATATTTTTGTTCTCCATAGAGGTGACAAAACGTTCTCCAGCCGCTACGAAGGACTTGAATACTGTACTTGTAAACCGCCTTCAATTTTTCACTCGGCAAAACCAACCCTGTACCCAGATTGCATATCTGCGCCGTCTTGCTCAGCAGTGGCATTAGCATTGACTATGTCAGTCACACGTGAATCAACGCTATCTCTACCAATATGTTAAAACTAGGTCAATGCATTTGTCTGCTTCCAAAATTGAGTGGAACAAGCATATTAATCTAATACTATTCCAAAGTCAATTCTAGATCTGGTTCACGTAAATGGGATGTCTACTTGCAGTATCCAAATTCAATGGTACATCTGGTTCACATAAATGGGATGTCTACTTGTAGTATCCAAAATCAATCGTATCTAACACTACAATTAGGAATGACTTCAAAATTAAATCAGTAAAAGAAGAAATTACAGACCATGGCAAAAAGTACCAAGAAAAATTAGGATCTCATCCGAACAGTCTTTCTGTTAATCTGCTGGTTTTAGTCAGTGTATTACCAGACGAAAAATTGTTGTTCATGTGTTAGACCTAAGCTACAGATATCTTTAAATCTCTAATTGATTGATCAAATGTTTGGAAAGACTTGTTGATGAACAGGTGCTTGCTTCCTGCCATTGTTTTGTTAAATGTTTTACTAATTGTTCTCATATTCTTATGAACAGATTGTAAAATAAATTCTGATAAAAAAAAATTGTTATCTTGCGAATAAATACTGTCATGGGACAGGACTAATCAAACCATAAGGCCTATGTTAAATTTCTAAAAGTTCAAATTCACGTTGTGAAAAGATCTGTAGCTCGATTTGAACCATTTTAGATACCTGAACTTCCCATAGTTGGTTACTATAACTGTGCTAAATTGCTTGTGGATCGCTTCAGCCATTCAGGAGGAGTATGTGGAAAACAAAAGCTGGGGTGTCGTACAAGAGCTTCGCTCGCTCCACTCAAAAAATATGGCTCCAAAACAACTTAATGCCCTGACAGTTTTATGTTTCCCAAATCATTAAGGTTTTTTTCTGGAACAGCTGAAGACAATTAATTTTAATGTTAGGTCTGTAGGTGTACTGTAGAGGTCGTGTTTTGTTTACAACCTGTTTCTTGTTATTTCAGTCATTTTAAACTTCGTTCAACCAAATAATACGATCTAATCATAAACAATAACTCGGCCTCTACTTATACAACCAATCAGTAAAGCACAAATCAAGAGATTAGCCCTAAAATAATAGAAAAAAAACTGCATTGACACTAGCGCCCAGTGTCCACCATGGCACCATACATGAACTAGACACAAAAAACTAGCTTAAAAATTTACAAGGTTATAGACATACCACGAACAAAACAACCTGCGCAGAAACGAAAAGATCACGTGGTTCGCGCAGGTAGGTGTGGCGTACCATTCAAACCTGCGCGGCTCGAAACGGCCCAGGGTTCTTTTGTTTCTGGTATTACTATAGTCTATGGCAGACTTATTATCATTATCTTATTACATTGTTATTATTTTGTTGTTATCTATTGGATTAGCCATTCAAAAGATTCAATATATTTGTTTGCTATGGTATTGTTGCAAGTATGTTGTTGCATTTACTTTAACTGCACCATTTTTTATGGTCAAAACCAGAAATTTCAAATCTCAAAGCTTAAACGATAAAATAAATTAAATCTTGAATATTTATACCCGAACATGACACTTTTCATTTTCCTGGTCAAGCAAGGCATTAAAAATGGCCAAAATAGAGGGAAAAACATTTTTAATATTCAAATCAAAACTGAAAACATTAGTATTTGTGTATCTAATTCCAGTAGCCTATTAGTATTTACATAGTATTTGTTTCAACAGTGTTAGTGGTGATCTGTTTTCTCCATTGCTGCCATCTTGAGTGTAAACGATGCTATAAACAATTGCAAAGCACCAACAAATTCTGCAGTTTCAAAACCAAAACTGCCAAAATATTCAATTTCCAAAACTTTTCAATCCTAAAACTCGTTGGATCAAATCTAGAAACCTAAACTTCTCTAAAAAAATTGATTGTTTTGAGATTTGGTTTAGACACAACACTACCATTATTGCTAACTATTTTGGAATTGTTAGTGACTTCAACTTGCTTAAAATAAATCTATATTACCAAATCGAGCAGCTTCAACAATCATACTGTTAAATTTGCTGATCAAGAAGTTATTTAAATTTGTTCTAATGATGCCACATTGAGCAATACGCTGTTATGTTCTAACTTTATACCCAGCATATTATTTAACAATTTTGTTAACGATAGTTTTGTATTAAAAAATCCCTGGCCTAAAGCCATTTTACCAAAAACATTATACCCAGCATATTTAGGCATTAGATGTATTTTATCTTTTTACCCTGTGGTTGAAAAGTAGGAGTTAAGTAATAAAGTGGAACTGATTGTAGGTCTACAAAAAGTGCCTCTATACCTCCATTAATCAGCAAGAACCTTTTCACACAACTGTGGTTTCTGTGAAATTAAAAACTGTGAAACAAATTTTTGTTCCCTTTTCATTTATTATTTCAAAAGTTCATTTCACAAAATAAATAGAACACCATTACCGGTATGGAGAATTTTTTAATTTAAGAAAAAATTGATATTACAGAAAGATTAGGGATTCTATGACATTTTCTGGGTAAAAAAGGTTATTAAGTCAAGGACAATATTTGTATCACCAACTTTTTATTTATAATAATATACAAGTCATATCAATTAGAAGATATATTTAATACATTTGTGTACAAATTACATAAACTTTAGAGTGGCAAAGAACTAAATAGAAAAATATATCTGTATATTTATACTGTGGAACCTCATTTATTTCTAGGAAAACTAGGTTTTACTATATCACCTAAAAGTGATTGATTAAAGCAACAATAACAATAGAATATTAATGTATGCAATGAATGTAATACAGACTGTATACAAAGTTTTATCAAGCTAGTTCTGAGTGTAAAGAAACAACTTCGAAGGTATTATTGGGTTGTTGGCCTTAGATGTTATTTATCCATAGTGTAAAAAATATATGACTTGCCAGCGTAAAGGCAAAACTTAATACATTGTTGTCAACTTGTGTTAAAGATTGGAACTGTAACATAACATAATATAATATTTATTCTAAATTAATTTTTCACTTGAGACTGATGTTAAATTACAAAAAAGCCATTCTTAAGACTACTAAAACACAGTAGCTAAAAAATATAGAAGTTATCTTTGTGCAAATGTTATTTTATTATTATTCATCCCGAGATAGCAAAGAAACTTGTGAACTTATTTTTGAGAGATTTGTGTCATTAGCATTGCGCAGCATACAATGGCAGGACCAGCTAAGAAATCTACGATTCCTCGGGGTTTCTGCTACATGATTCATTAAGATTTGTAATAAAACAGTACTGCTTATAAAACTTACGACAAAGATAAACCAATAAATGAACAAATCATATTATTAGCATGGACAGTAAGGTTTGTTAGAATTTCTAAAACCAATGACACATGACAGGGTTATAAGGTTTGGAGATAACTTTGGTGTTTTTAATGTTTACTACACACTAATTACATTTTTCAATCAAAGCATTATAATATGATCAGACCCATGTTCACTATAAAATTCATAATATTAGGAAAAAAGCTATTTATATAAAAAATACTAGACAAATTTACATTTTTACAATGATTTAGTTACACTAAGACTTATAACTTGAAGACTTGATTTTTTAAATATTGTCTGTAGTTTATTTTTATTATCCTCTAATAGTAAGATTGCAAATGAATGTTAAGAATAGAATTTTAACTAACACATATTACAATTATGTAAGAATTATAAAATATTTTAGAATATAATGTAATGCTTAGTACTTTCAGTGAATTTCCCATATAGGGAAGAAGCTGTTACCATAAGTCTTATGCTAAGACCTAGACTCAGGATTGATTAACTTATTCATTTTTATGTCTCCAGAACCCAAAAACACCATTCGTTCAAATTCATATAGCCTAAATAATGTTCTGTGTCTTAGAACAATAACTCAAGTAAAAATCATCAGATTTTGATGAAATTTTGTACAAACGTTTAAACCTACATTTATTGAAACGAGCTTGCTAACCAGCATGATTGGACTATGGAAAAATGTTTAAATATGTGGTTTCTTGGGTTAAAGGTTGGTTTTAGATATAGTTGCATGTATTTGATCAAATTCGGTAAATTTATTTATTTCATACCAAGCTAGAAATGTTCACTAAAACCACACTTTATTACCCTCCATGTAGCAGCAAACATAAGTACTAATTAAAGTGCATGTTATTTAAATAGGGAAGGAATGTGACATATTAAAAACAAATATTTCAGTGAAAATCCAATCAGGCAAATGGAAATTCGCTTAGTCTGCAGTTTTGCTGAATATTTATCAAAGAAACAAGTTGAATTATTCAAAGGTAAAACATATTACACGCTAACTTTCCGAGCAAAAATATAGAAAGAATAGTTTTAATTTTGGTGTTACTTGAATTTGAATAACACATGTCAATAAAAGTGTGATTGTTAAATCAACAACTCAAATAAAATGTTATTGATGAATATTCTTTAATCTAAAATACAACAATTCCCTGAAAACATTAGGATTATTTTCAAATTATTTTTGCCTAAACCTAATGCAAACATAGGCTTATAGATTTAAAGTAATCATGTAATACAAATTGGTTCTACAAAATAAAGAACAAGTTATACACACACTCTTTCATAAACTAGAATTATTTATCACAAATTATTCATCTTCTATTTATTGACCTTAGGTATAATTTCTTAGCTATTCCCTAACAAACTATGAAATAAGAATGATCTTGTTAAAGTAGGAGAAAGTAAAGTAGTGAAGGGAAATTGTAGTTTAAAACAAAGCAACAGCAGATTTTAATGATGACCTAGATTTAATAGATCATCGAGTCAATCATTTATAATATATAAAAAATACCAGACTTTGGCCGTTATGTTCAAACGGCTAGTAATAATACTTAAGAGTTGGAAATTTATCGGCTATTATAATAAAGTCCTCTGGTAATATATTGACAATAACTATATAATTTTAAAAGGGTAAAAGTAGTTGCCCAACAGTAAATATTTGATACCAAATAATCAAATAAAATTAGAGTTCTTAGCATGTTAATTCAAAGTAAAAACAGTTTAGATTATCAGTTACTTATCATGCATTTTGAAGACGTGCTAAAAAACTAAGAATTTAAATTCTCAATAGTTTGAAAATAAAATAAGCCCTTAATTTAATGGAAGCTGGAGGCTAAAGGGCTAAAAAGTTATCCACTTATCAGTTTTGAGCTTTTTTATTAACCCTATTCTATTTTTAAGTGTCAGATAGGTAAAATTATTTGATTAATTTTCTTAATCTGGACATTTGTGTGAATTGAGACTACGGATTACAACTAAACTGAACATTATCTATAGGAGAAACCCACTTTATTAACCCTTACACTCACAGCAACTAGCAGTCGGCCAACTCAGGTCTTGGCATATTTTCTTAAAGACCACTAACACAACAACAAAAATAAGTCACATAAAAAAATATGTTTGTTGATTAAACCTAGAGTTTATACTCCAACAATTAGAACTTTACATTGAATGAACAGCACCTAAACTAGTTTGAGATTAGTGTCCAATCCATGTGATAAAAATATATTTGATTACTTCAGGTACACGCCAATAAAAATATTTCACATTTTTTACAGACGAAATTGGGTGATCGTGAGATATTGATTTACTATTTTCATCATGTTTGCAATTATTACTTATGGTTACAATTTTAGAAGCATGAAATGAAAGTTAATTCCGAAAACTCAAGAAGAGAAAACCAAATCCACTCGCATTACCATTCAAGCTCGATTGTACAGCTTTTCTTTTACAATGCAAATGTACAATACTAAAGTACAAAAATAAATAGAATCCGACCAGCGGAAAGAGAAGGAATGTTTACTGAGTCTAATGTGTAGGAATAGACTCGACTGAGAATGGTGTCACTTGGTATATGAAGCAGCGATTGCATACTCTGACAGGCTTGGCATGTCCATAGCGAGGCAGAGGCACAGAGTTGGAGCTGCATCTCGCACAGAACACCTGAAACCAGAACTTGGTGTCACTTTGTATATTAAGCAGCGATTGCATACTCTGACAGGCTTGGCATGTCCATAGCGAGGCAGAGGCACAGAGTTGGAGCTGCATCTCGCACAGAACACCTGAAACAAGAACTTGGTGTCACTTGATATATGAAGCAGCGATTGCATACTCTGACAGGCTTTGCACACGACTGCAACAACATTATTGTAATCATTCCCAGCAATCATCTCAACACCGGTGCTTATTCTTTGCAATAGCCGCTTGTGATCATATTTTGCAACAACGGCAACATTTGTGATTATTTCCTACAATCGCAGCAACATCCGTGGTAATTTACTTTGATCGTGGCAACATCTGTGATCTGTGATAATTACCAGTGATCGCAATGTCCGATGCTATAAAACAAGAACAAACAGCAATATCAGGCAGTTTTTTTTTCAAAATAAAAAAAAATTCCTGGTCTTATACAAAATTTACATACAATTCACAATGTCCCCTCATCAAAAATCATGTACAATTCCTAGTTTTCCGGGTTTCCAAGTTGGATGGACACTCTGAAATAACCACATTCCGTACAACCCACATTATGATCTATGAATGTTGCTAAATTTGGAAAGCAGAAAATATTTTGTGACCTTATAACACAACATACCTTTCCACAGTTACGGCAGTGATGTCGGCGGCGAATGACAGTGAACATTGCATGACAGGCCATACACACCGGAGCCGCCTCGTCTGGCAACCACAATGGAGCAGCTTCCACCAGCCCCTCCTGTGTATTGCCTCCCCACTCTAGGGCGTCCTCACACACTTCTACAACACAACCAGACAGTACAGGATACAGTAGGATGTAACAGCTACGGGAAAACCATTGATGGTAGTCCAAAACATTTGGCAAACAAATCTATACAACAAAATCATTCTTCTACCATTTTATAAATAACATTAGTCACCTATCATTAATATAAACAACATTGATCATATATTGCATACACAGAAAGCGTTTATAAACATGTGCAGTAAAAAATTTTCGATTTTGTCAGTATTGCAGTTGGTGTTTACGGTATTGCCACAATCGTGGAAGACGATGATGTCGCCATGACCATAGGAGATGTTCACAATTTGGCCATAACCTCCAAAATGTACACAATTTCAATATAACAGCAGAAGATGTTCACAATTTGGAGGTGACTGCAAAAGATGTTTTTTGATTTTACCGGTACCAAAGACAATGATTTTGCTGTGACCACAATAGATGTTCTCACCATAATGCCTGACAATGTTTACCATATTATTAGTCTGGTTTTTTGTACGCTACAAAAATTGCACCAAACTTAAGTTAGGTTTTCCGTACAAATTCTAAAATACATGCATAATTCATGTTATTTATTGATTTAATCTTGAAGAGTAAAAAGAGTAAACACCCAGCCTCCGTGGGGGCAGAACACAGAACATTACAAGGATTAAGGCGGTTTTTAATGGTAGAACTATATCATTTTATCAGTTTGATTACCTGGAGGAATTTCTGGGATTTCTTCTTCCTCTTCGGGTTTGCTGTCAGAGGAGTTGATAAGGAAGACACTTTTCAAGATGTGGCGGAGGTCACCAGCAAAGTTTGTTTGTAGTTGGTCAGCTACACCGGAGATGCAAACAAACAATCTGTGCAGAAGATCTCCACTGGATCTAAAGCAAATCAGACAACTATAACTATAAAGTTTTGAAAAATACAGTAAATCTTACTAATATTATAAATGTGAAAGTTTGTGTGTTTGTTTGTTTGTTTGTTTGAAGTTCAATCACGCATAAACCACTGGATGGATTGGGCTGAAATTTGGCATGATGATAGCTTACATTCCCGATTAACATATAGGCATATTCTTATCTCAAAAATCCTTTCGGGCTCCGCCCCAGTGGCTCTGTAATTCCCCATGTTAACCTTATGAGTATTCATATTTAAAGTGAATTAAAGAATTAAGTCAGCTGTTTCAAATAAAAAAGTTGGTTCTATGATATGGAAAAGCATTAAAAAGTTATAAGATTTACCAACAGGGTGCAGCACTATATATTTTTTTGCATTTATGAAAACAGCTAATTTGAACTAAGCAGCAAAAAAACTAATTCGCAAAGGGAACTGTCAAAGTAGGATTGTTTACAGTTATTTTTATGTTTTTCATTTCATGAATAATTTGTGATATTTTGCGAATTGTTGATAATTTATTTTTCTCTATTGTTTAGGTGAAGTGGTAGAACATTATGGCTATGGTAGATGTGTAATACCATAGAATACTGTAGATTTAAAAAAGCAAATTTTATCAAACTGTGTCCTCCCTTATTGCAAACGCAAAGCTTGAGTATAACTGCAATAAGCATTTTATACTTATATTCCAACCCCGTACGAAGGACGGGTACTCTGCTAGTCTCTTATACTATTAATATATAGCTCTTGAAACCATCAGATGGAGCAACCATTTGTGTTTTCTTCTAGAGAAATATGTGACAATCGACTAAGAGCTCTAGAGGTAAAAAAGTGACACCATGCATACTTTTGTTTTTGAAAAATTAACAACTTCTAAATTTGGTTTTTAGGTTTTGCGTCTAAAAACAAACAATTTCTAAATTTGGTTTTAAGGTTTTGTGTCTATCTTTAACATTTAGTCAGCATATTGCTTAGAAGAGTGAAAGGCCATCCAGTTGACGTATTCATGGAATTTCCGTTTGAAATAGCCTACATAGGATTTATCCAGTTTTGTCATAAAACACTTCTGTAGTTTTGAACATATGTTTATTTATTTGTTGAATAAGCTGAAAAGTGAGCTGGTGCCATGTAATTTTCCAAGGGGGATCTTTTATAAATTTACAATGGCTGTTACTTCATAAGTCTTTTGAGTGAGACAATCTGGATTTTGGGGTGACATAGTAGTAGTAATATTCACTTTAAAACAGATGTTAACTGGGACGGGTGGCGTCGTCCTGTAATCCAGCTACTAGGAGGTTATGAATTGTGGATATTTATAGGCATGCACTGTGGATGCGATACTCCCTAGTGTGGATTAACGTCCACTCGAGTGAGTACGACTACCCGCAGTACTATCCTGAAAATTAGACCAATTCGCATATACCAAGGCAAAAGTGTGGTTCGGTCCCTTAGTTGTCATTAGCTATATGGGCTATTAAATTAACAGCTGTGTCTAAGGAATAAGTTTGCCTTAGTCACTAACAAGACTACAATATCGCGCCACCCATCCTACACTCATCTCCATTCATACTTGGCTTAAAATACCTACTTTGGTATGGTCGCCATTTCATTGAAAAAGTATAAAAAAAAGATGTAAGATAAGAATAAACAAATAATAGTACCATTCTTGCACTATTTTTTCACAAAAATGTAAACTTAACCTGGGGTTACAATCTTATTTTACTTATTTATACAGTCCCGTGCATATTGGTTAGTCCTCATTGTTTTTGCCACAGGATTCACAAGAGTGTAGCACTTGTCAGGCATATCTCGTGGCAGTCAGTTTCGATTGTTCCTAGTTTTCATAACTTAGCGAAGATGGCGGACGCCAATCAACACAAATTATAGAAAGGTGACTTGCGTAATCAGATGTTAAATTGTTACAAGCTTATCTGCTGTTGTGGTACGCAATATACGAGACCTGAACTTTGCGCGAGCCTCCATCTTGGTAGCATGTTGCACAGCCTTGAGTGCGAGAGCCACTTCCTCATCATCCTGACAATCGGAGTTGAAGGAGGAAGTCTCACTCGTAATGCTGCAACTACCACCATTAATTAGCAGAATTATAATAAACTGGTTATCAAAACTGTGTTATTCGATTCTCCCTACAGACAATCAAATTGTGTGTGGTTTGACTGTACACAGTAGAAGCCCCTGTCTATACTTGGTGTGGAGATAGGCTAAGATACTGATGGGCTTTCCAATACCATACTATAAACCAACTATAAAGTTCTTAACAAAACACATATAGCCTACTACACAAGAGCGGAACATGTGCAAATGTTGGGTGTGAGAGTAGTATGTTCTCTTTCAGCGTGTTGTTTGGCTGCTTGTGTCAAGTCAGTCCAAACGAATGGTTAGAGCACTTTAAGTGCCTCCTGAACCCGCCTCTGTTGTTAGCCAATGTCTATGTACTTCCATTTATTCAAGACCACTTTCTAGATAGAGGGAGATTTCTTAATCGCGGGAGATGATTAGGATTTATCTTCAATCGCGGGGAATATGATATCCTCGACTGCTGGAGGTGTTCATGATATATTGTTTCAGGGGTTTCACACCCCCCCCCCTGACCTTAAAACTTGATTTTCTACAAATAAAAAATCTTTTTTATATGCCTCTAAATAGCCTAAAAACGTGAGTTTGTAGGTATAATTTTCAATAGTTTCCCGGACCCCCTTTTTACCTGGGAGGTATTCCATACCCCCCGTGTTTAGGAGGTAAACAGCCTACAACCCAAGATTCCAAGCAATGGCCCTCTCTGAGAATCCGTGCTGGAGCCGTCCCTGGTTCGTTGACAAATTTTCTAATAGATGCTTGGAAGTAAAGGTGGGATTTGGTTTTAGAATTTAACGTATAGGTTTAGCAGCAAAACAATGTAAATATTATAAGTCATTACAAATAGTGTCACAGTTTTAGTCGTATTTAAAGGACGTTTGTCTGAAAATGTTGTCAACCCGGCAGACGGTCTAATGACCATTGCTGTAATGTGCTATTTTTAGTTTATTTTGTTTTTGTTATGCAGAAGATTATGTTTTGTTATAAGTTGCTATGTATTTACCGGTATACAGTTTATTTTTGTGTTAATAAATGAATTTTTCATTCATTCATTTAATTCATACTAACGGGCTTTAGGCACTTGCACTGGGCTGTAGTTTCTTAATGTTTTTTCACTGCCTACAACGCAGTTTGTCAAAACCTCACACTTGAATATCCGTCACATCTTAGCCACAATGGGAACGGAAACCTGAGATATATTTCGGTTAAGGTAGAGGTGTTTTACTCGTTATCTAGGTAATGATTATGGCTTCAAAACAGAAAAAGTTAGTGGTATCAATGGATGACAAACACAAAGAGTTTAATAGGTTTAACAACAGAGAAACTCTAATAAAATAGCTTAGTGATTTTTTACTACAATTTGTGTAATATTTTCTGTAATGGTTGGCTATACAGCTCTACTTTTAGTTTTAGCTATTGTCATTTAGTTTTATATTATCATGTGTTAATTGTTATTGTTTACTTCTAGTTGATATATACAAATAAAAATACTTTTACCTAAATTATTCTATCATGATTAATTCTGATTTTTATGAGTTTAATACATGGCACAGTCTTTATTTGCATAGTTTGGGGTGACCAAAGGCTTTGGTTGTTTCAACTATTTATGTAGGTATTAATACAGACACTGAAATTTAACTTTTTTACCTATACAAACATATCAACAACTTTTGTGGTATCTACCATTATCAAACAAGTTTATCATGGCTCATACACAAGTAAGAATGCCTGAACCTTTTTCCTTCCATCCAGCGGAATGGTCATCTTGGAAAAAACGTTTTGAAAGATTTAGAACAATTAGTGACTTGGATCAATCATCTGAAGAAAAACGAGTACACTCATATATGCAATGGGCCCGAAATCAGAAGAAATATTCTCATTCTTCAAAATGACCAATGAATAAACAAAGTATAAAACAGTCATGGACAAATTTGATGGGCACTTCAATCCAAAGAAGAATATTATTTATGAAAGAGCCAAATTTCTACGTAGAAAACAAGGACTAACAGAAACTGCAGAAGATTTTGTGACAGATTTATATTCTCTTGCTCGTACCTGTGAATGGGGAACGCTTGAAGATGAAATGTTACTAATAGTCATTATTGTTGGTATGCGTGATCAAGATTTGAGTGATAAACTACTATTAGAAAATAAAGGTACATTGGAATCTGCAATAACTTCACTTCGCAAATCAGAAGAATTGAAACGACACAAAGAGGAATTGACCCTCCCATCAATCGAAGCTGTAAATAAAAACCAACGTGCCAAAAGAGAAAATAGGGATCAAGGGAGATTAACGTACTCAAGCTCAAATGTGAGTGATCAGGAGCTATCCCAACTCCTGTGTTTGGTGTGGTTCAACCCCTTCTCATCGAAGAGGTCTGTGTCCAGCAAAAGATCGCAAATGTTCTAGGTGCAAGCGAAATGGCCACTTTTCACACTGTTGTCTTCAAAACAATGTTCGAGAAATAGACTTGGATCGTTCAGATGACTTTACCCAAATCACTAATGAACCAGACCCATCGAAAACATTCATTGGGTGTGTTCATTGGGATTCTGGTAAAACAAAAAATGATCCCTGGACAATAAATGTAAGACTTAATGAAGACACTGTCAAGTTCAAAATCGACACAGGAGCTGACGTGACAGTAATACCATCTAACATAAAGCTAAGCAAAAAAATTGAAGTCCAGCCTACCCAGAGAACTTTAAGTGCGGCTGGAGGATCGCCTCTTTCTGTTATTGGCACAGTCACTGCAAAACTCTCTTACAAAGGACAATCGTGTATGAAAAAAATGTATGTGGCTGACAAATGCACAACACCACTACTTGGCAAACCAGCAATAGAAAAACTAAAAATAATACCGGTTATCCGTGAGGTATCCAAAACTAATTTGAACAAATCTGCTAATGATTGGATAACAAAATTTCCTGACCTTTTCAGTGGTCTAGGAAAAATGAAGGGGAGCTACAAAATAGAACTTAAAAATGATGCAAAACCTTATCGATATCAGTTCCTCGACGGATTCCAGTACCTCTTTGGGAAAAAACAAAGAAGGAGATTGAAAATATGGTGAATATGGACGTTATAACACCCGTTGATCACGCTACTTCTAGGTGCAAGATGCAAGATGGTCGTGGTGCCTAAGAAAGATAGCACTCAGGTTCGAATATGTGTGGACCCTACTATGCTTAATAAGAACGTGTTTCGACAAACTCATCCTATTTGGGGCATTGATTATACGATGGCTCGAATAAAAGATGCCAAAGTCTTTTCCAAACTGGATGCCAACCATGGGTTTTGGCAAATAGCTCTTGCAGAAGAATCTCAAGATCTCACTACGTTTTTAACTCCTTGGGGCCGATACAAATTCAAAGTTCTTCCATTTGGTATCACAAGTGCTCTCGAGTATTTCCAGAAACAAATTCAAGAAACCTTAGGATCTCAACAAAACTGTTTAGCTCACATCGATGACATACTTGTATGGGGTTCCAGTCAAGAGGAACATGACTTGATCTTAAATGAAGTTTTACAGAAACTCAGAAATGCTGAAATTACATTGAATAAAGACAAATGTGTATTTTCTCAGCCAGAAGTACAATTCTTAGGACATCACCTTTCATCCCGAGGGGTTCAAATCAGCCAAGAAAGAGTCAAGGCCATTCTTGAGATGAAACCTCCATCTGATATAAAAGAAGTACAACGCTTCTTAGGGATGATTAATTTTTGTGGTAAATACATACCAAATCGATCAGAAATACTAAAACCAATCCATGATCTACTTAAAGAGAAAAATGAATGGTTTTGGGAAGAACAACAACAGCATGCGTTTGAAAGTATAAAAAAACTTCTGACCTCAGCACCCCAACTAGCATTTTACGACCCTCGCTTACCAACTCTTGTGTCAGCGGACGCTTCTTCTTATGGTCTCGGTGGATTGCTTCTTCAGAAACATCATGATGGTAAATTCAGACCTGTTTCTTACATTTCAAGGTCACTTACAGAAGCTGAAAAATCATATTCAAATATTGAACGTGAAGCCCTAGCAATCACATGGGCTTGTGACAAGCTCAGAGACTATATAATTGGTCGAGAGATTGTAATTGAAACGGATCACAAGCCACTTGTGAAAATCTTCTCATCTAAGAATTTGGATGACATTACACCTCGCTTACAGCGAATGAGACTTCGCATGATGAGATACTCATATTCAGTGACATATACGCCTGGAAAACACCTTGCACCAGCAGACTGCCTTTCAAGATGCCCCATTCCAAGCAAGGAAACATATGACATGGAAGAAGAAATTGAAGCCTTTGTTCAAAATGTGGTTGAAAACATACCTACAACTGATGAAAACATAAACAGGTTACGGGAAGCTCAACAAGCAGATCCCATATTCAGAAAGATTGCAGTATACTGTCATACTGAATGGCCAGAAAAATCATAACTTCCATCTCAACTAGTCCTTTACTTCTCAGTTAAAGATGAGATATCAGTGATGGACAACTTACTTTTACGCAATTCTAGAATAATAGTACCATCAAGTCTTTGTCAAGAAATGCTTCATAGAATACACATTGGTCATCTAGGAGCCACCAAATGTCGAGAAAAGGCTAGATTCAGTTTATGGTGGCCAGGAATGGCATCAGATATAAATATGATGGTAGCTTCATGCCCAACATGCATCAAACACAGAGAAAATCTAAATGAGCCGCTCATTCCTTCCGAGTTTCCGAAACGTCCATGGGAAAAGGCAGCAATGGATTTGTTCAAGCTCGATGGTAAATGGTTCATTGTTATAACAGATCAGTTCTCAAGGTATTTTGAGATTGCTACCCTACAATCCCTCACTGCCTCTGAAGTAATTGAGAAATGCAAGTCAACGTTCTCTCGCCACGGTATTCCTGAAGTCTTATACTCAGACAGTGGAACGCAGTTCGGCATCACTGGTGCTGAATTCAGAAAATTTGCCAAAGAGTACAACTTTTTATGCAAAACAAGCAGTCCTCAGTTTCATCAGAGCAATGGCTCAGCCGAAGCAGCTGTCAAAATTGCAAAAGCTGTTCTAAAGAAGAACAAAGGAGATACATATTTAGCTTTGTTGTCTTACAGGAACTCTCCACTTGCCAACGGTTACAGTCCAGCACAGTTATTATATGGACGTAGACTACGGGACAATTTGCCTATCTTACCATGTCATCTGGAGAAAAAGCCAGACTTCAGTAATCTCCGAGAGAAGGAGAATCATTATAGACAAAACTACTTAAACGAAATTATGATCGACGACATGGTGCTCGACCCTTATCAGATGTAAACCCAGGAACCAAAGTTTGGATATCTGATCTGAAACGTGAAGAACAAGTCGTAGAAAAGTTAAACTCACCACGATCTTATAAAGTACTGACGGACAAAGGAACAATAGTTCGAAGAAACCGGTTTCACCTACAACCAATGCCAAACTTTCAAAAGGAAAGTTACCACAACCATCAAGCATCAACAAATGGTCAGAAGGATCATCGATCCAAGGAAGACAACGGTATGTGCTTAACAAACTTTTCAACAGTTAACCGCAACCATCAACCATTAACAAGTGGTCCGATGGATAATCATGAAGACATGCCAAACTTTTCAACAGTTCCTCCAAACACCTCTGGAATGTCTTCTGCTAACATAACAACCCGATCAAGACGGCTGATAAAACCTCCCAAAAAACTCAACCTTTAAAGAGGGAGATGTTATGGTTGGCTATACAGCTCTACTGACTATTGTCATTTAGTTTTATATTATCATGTGTTAATTGTTATTGTTTAATTCTAGTTGATATATACAAATAAACATACTTTTACCTAAATTATTCTATCATGATTAATTCTGATTTTTATGAGTTTAATACATTTTCACTGTTATCTGGCCTTCCCATTTTTTTTTACATTGCTACAGCTGGTATACGTTGGATAGTCTATTTTGAAACACATTTTTCTATACCAAAAAAACCTAGAGACACCAAAACTGTTCCACAGATAGTGTATTTAGTTAATGAGGATATCTGGATAGGGGTTGTTGAGGGGAATACAAGAATTTGTCATGTAGGTAGATGTAGATCTGAGTTTTGATTTGAACAATTTAACCAAAACCAATATTATTAAAATTTGTGTTCCTTGTAGCAGCAAACCCAAAGTATTTATCACTGAGCATGGTTCTAAATCCATATACAGGGTGAGTTTTAATTAAGAGATACCAAGATGGCGGCCGGAGATGACCATCTTGTCAAAGTGAAGCACTTACTACCCAACAATGTTTGGAAGTGGTCTGGGATTGATATTCGAAAAAATGTAGAAAAAAGTGGGGGGGACAATTAAAACTCACCCTGTATATAAAATCCAATGTATGTATGTTTGTTTCTTTGTCCTTTATGGACTCCGAAACCGCTCGACAGATTGTAATGAAATTTCAGGCATTATTAAGAATTATTCAAAGATGGTTTGTGTGACGTTTGGTGCAGACCCGTCGAAAGGGCTCCGCCCCAGTGGCTCTGGAATTTCCCATGTTAACCTTATGAGTACTCATTTTTAAATGGAATTAAAGAATCTTAACAGCTGGTTCAACTAAACAATTTGATTCTGTGATGTTCAAGAATAGCATTGTGATTAAGCCATGAGAACAAGCTCATTTTGAAAATAAACGAGCATTTGACATAAAACCACATTAGGATAGGACGACGTCTGTCGAGCCAGCTAGTACGTTATAAAACTGTTGAATAAATTACAGCTGTAATGGGGGCGAATACATTATATAATGCCTATTAAATTTATACAAAATTACATTTAACTGAAGATTTTGTACAATTTTATGGCAAAAGGGATGATATTGGTGTATCACGACACAGTCTACAACTAATTTGTTTCATAACTAATTAGGTCAACAATTTAAATACAAGAGCAGCTTTGTTACCTGTCGGAGGTTACACTGGACGTGAGCGTGGTGTGACAGCTGGAACAGGAGGAGGAGAGACTGTCAACTGCGTGCTCACTTCTCTGTCTGGAACATATAGCGATTGTGTTGAGGGAAGGGTTTGAATGCGCATGCGCAACTTGCTCACCATTCTACATGATTTTATCCATATAAAATTATAAAAACCATTTTGAAAATTAACTTTTTTGACCTTTTAATACAATGAAAGTTCAAGAATTGCATACCGGTACGTTATTTTAAGTCCTCAAGAATTAAACGGGCACAAATTCCAAAATATGGTTCAAAATGTCCATAGGCATAAATAAAAAGATTTACCTGTTATCACAGTCTTTGGGCAGAGGACCAGAAGAACAAAGTGCTTCCCAATTTTCAGCGTAACGAACATGAAGATCCTCAGAGGATTGACCACTTTGACTTTTCGGTTTCCACTCTACACATTTCACTTTAGAATCGTTTAAATTTACATTTGGTTTAAATTTGTTATAATTATCAGTATTTATAATGTCTCTACTAGAATCAGACTGCACACTATTTACAGAACTCTCATTATTCTCAGTCTGAGTGTCTCTTTCCGAAGTGCTAGGCACATCGGTATCACAAGCCCATCTAACGTCCTCGTTATCTTCTCCATCCTCTTCAGTTTTTGAAGGCACTTCGGTTTTTGACTCGTTCATCTGTTTCAATAAACATTCCTCGCAGGTGTTATCTATCGTGTCTTGTTGCAAGCTCCTGTTTAGCAGGCCTTGCTTGGTCATCGTAGCGTCCTCTGATATGTCCACTGAGCAGGCGCAGGGTATGATCGGCAGTGTCCACTGGCCATTGAGGTTGATGACTCCCTCCTCGCCGTCGCTCTCGTCGTCAGCCTCGTCAGGTGTGGAGGGTCCCTCCGTCTCTGTGCTGGTCTGTTGCGGCACGTCGTCTAGACTCTCCGGACTGTCTGATGTACTCTGCAGAGTCACCACCCCGGAGTCGTCAGCAGGCACTAATGTTGCTGGCAGCTGCTCCATCACTGTCTCACACTCAGAACCTTCCCCTTCTCCTCCCCACCCCGAGCTCTCTTCCTCACTCAAGTCGGCAACACTGTAAACAAAAATTACTTTGTTTTACATCTTCATCAGGACTTCAGCTATGGTCTGGCTTGCAGTAAATTAACAGAATTACGAAGCTTATCTGTAAGACTTAACAAGACTTTAGACTGCTGTCAGACTTTATCTAGGGAATGTTACAAAAATATTTCTGAACAGATTTCTGGAAATCGAGATTTTACATGTATGCTATATGTGGAGGCCCTTGTGCAAATTGTCTTTAACATTTCAACAACTACTTTTTAGCTGAACAAATTTACATTGAAGAAAACCATTTTATTAAAATAAATATTAACTAGTGGCTTGTATGAACATAAGTCCCTAAGAAGCTCAATAATATAAAACAAATTATTCTAATATTTAAACAAACTAAGGAATATATTATCTATTTGTCAGAATATATATCCCTGTGTAAAAAACAGTTTGTTGTTTTTCTTTGTGCCTTTGTTAATGTTATTTTCAATAAATCATTCGAATCACTACAGTTTAACTCTGATAAAGGCAGCAAACAACTGTTTGTGAATAGATACTGGTTTACTAAGGTAGCTTTGGTCTTGTGGTTAATGGTGATAAAAAAGGCTTCCCGATTGGAATTTTTGAAATTGTCATCGTTAAACATGAAAAGGCAGATAAAGGTGTGTTGAGGTAAGCTTAGTTCTTGGCCAATCCCGCTAAATTAGCATCCCTACCCAGTTAATATTTCTAAGTATATACTCCTTTTGTTAAGGTTTAACAACATTAGTGTAAAGTAAAGGCATCTTATTGACCAAACTTAATCCTAGATTTTGTTCTGATCGACATAAAAAAAAACTACAATTAGTATAAGTTTATGTGGTGGTATTCCTCATAAATGTGCGATTGACGTTGCATATTCTATCAAATTAGGCATAATCATCGGCTGATTCTTAACTCTTTTGCGAGCAACAGACAGCACCTCTTTAAAATCGACAAACAATATTAGTTTTTCCTCCCATTGGAACTTGTCATAGTACTTACTTAATTAACAAATATATATTTACTGTACGGACCTAATCCATCTTTATTCCCAGGTTATTTTCTAAGAGCAGTGGTTGAGGCTATTCCACTTCATACAAAATACTGGTTAAACGCTACAATAAATCTCAAATTTAAAATAAAGAAAGTGTAGAACAAATCTAGAAAGTTTTGAAATAAAAACTAAGCAGAAGTTTTCCATTTAATCTTTAATCGTTAATTATCTAGGCAATGTGGCTATTTAATGTTAAACGTTAAAAATACAGTACACAAATTTGAAAAAATCACATTAAAATAATTTATTTCCATATTCTATAACGTAACTAAAAAGTCTTAATTATTATAGGTATTGTTATCCCTGGTTTTATATAGTATGTTGTAGAATTTACTGGCAAATAAGTAATCCAAATATTAACATTGCGTACTGAGGTACTGACTTGATGATAAATCACGATCAGCTGTATTGAAGTAAACAAAAATCATCAGTAAATGGCTTCTAATGCTATTCTTATGGAGAACATTTTACGTTATATCTCGTTTTCTGGTAATTTTATGGGAATTCTACTATTTTTCCCGAGTCTCTGGGGTCAAGACCTTTAATTTAAGACCCCTCGCACTTTTCTGCGACTTACCAGACGTCCACAATTTTCTGGTAAAAATTTTGTCTTACAGAATTATATATAAGGATGATACTGCTAATTTACAGCATTTGTTTGTAAAATTTAGATTGTTGATTCATATTATAAACAAATAGTAATTTACCTACCTTAATCAGGATAAAACTTTATCAATAAAATTAGCCTATTTTTTCATATACCGTAAACTGTTTTGTTTCTTGTTAACAATCTGACAGTTATTAAAATATAAACTAAAGGTGAACTTACTTAAAACGTTTGCTGCGGGCTACTATAATTGTAGTACCTGACCACAAGTACTGCACGTGGCCTACTATAAATGTAGCAGTGCGCTCCCCTCACTTACATTGCCTTGGTGTGAGCCCAGCATTTTGAATGGAATATTATTATTGTCACCACGTGTAGTGTCGGTTTTGTAAGTCATTTTGGTGCGATTCGTTTTCAGATTGGTCATTTTTGTATCTGTGTCAGTGTGTGGGATTTTGGCTTAAATTAAGTGACAAAGAATAGGATAACAAAAATGACTGTAGTGTAGCATTTTGGAAGGAACGTAACCTCAAAATAGTGCTTGACGCCTTTTTTTTGGATTTTTTATAGTGTATCCAGGTAATTTGAATTTGAACCTACCTTTTCCCTCCATTTGGAAATACTGCGGGCGTATCAGCACTTTTGTTTAGTGCTGCTATCTGTTGGGTTCTTGTAAAACTACGTACACAACAAATGGAACGTAGAACATGCATAATATGCCTCTCCTATTGGATGAAACTAATTTTAAACTTTTTGCACACTCATCCACACAGCGCTGTTCCTACACCTGGCCGCAGCCAGCCATCATGCAACAGCAGCGAACATGTTAATGAAGAGAATGCATGAGCTAACTGCTTTGGGTGAATAAAATTCAATTTAGTCACTTTAATTAACTACAAAATTACAAATGGTTTTACTGTAAGCTTACTTCTAACCACATACCCATTAGAAGAAGGCTTGCGAGACAGCAACCCTGGGTCTTCAGATGAACACAACATTTTTTCAAGGGTCAACAACTCAGCTTCTGTCAACGTCCATAACAGTTCTCTGATCTTGACCAACAAAGTCTGCAAAAGTCAAATGTACATTTTTAGTATGACTGCTTTCAAAAGCAAAATGATAGTACAATACTTTTGAACTATCTCCAAGTTGGTTAAGTAATGACTCATTAATTTAAGTGATACAACATTTTATCATCCATATTTTTGTAAAGACCAGTAAAAAACTACCCCGCTATTTTCACAATATAGTCATCTATCTCTAAAGCATACCCTGAATGGCCTGAACATCTCGGACATGTGGTGTGGGCTGGTATCCAGACTAAGGGGTCCCTCAGGGTAGACTAAAAGTCCTGTCACTATTGCCAGTCTGGGGATGGTGAACATGAGGGCTGGGTCACACTGGTCTACTGTCTCTTGGCTCAGTAGACCAAGCTTCAGAGCTCTGCAACACAAATCAAGCTCAACACTAGTATTACCAAACCACATATCAAACAGCTTGTTCTCTAATCTCTAGGAATTACAACAGCAAATCAATTTAATGTAGGTGTGTTATAAACATTTCAAATGGTAGCTAAACCTTGATGCATGCCTGAAGATGCATGATTTCTTGTATCCTGTTTTTTATGTAAGAAAATGTAAGTATTTGACACTATCAACTGTTCATAAGTTATTCACAAGACAATAAACACATTTCATTTCATTTCATCACAAAGGCTATAGGGTACATTAAAACTGGTGTATTATCTCAGACTGATCTGAAAGATTTAAATTATGGAAATTATTAGAGAAAAAATTAAATATTACTCTACAAAGATGTATAGTATGGTATAGTACCCCTCATCAAAAAATCATTGACAAATTCTTTCAGCATTATTGTACAAGGCCTATACTGTATATACACAAGAGGTGTTACTGACCTCTGCAATGTCTCGGAGAACAACACTACCACATCCTGCTGCAGCTGGTACTCCTGTATGGTCTTGACAGGGACCATGGCGGACACGTAGCACAGCTCAAAGTCTGCCAGGAGCCGGTCAAACATCTTGAGTGACTCTATGAGACGGTCGTGAGCCAGTTCCGAGGGTGCGTGTGTGCGGAGGCTGGCCTCTCGCAGCAGGTTACGAACGTTCTCCAGAGACTTGGTCAGGGCCTTGGCTAGTGGCCGCATTGATCCACTCTCTGTCTCACGGTTCATGATGCTAGATCCTGCTGCCAGACACTACAACAGAGAAGCATACTTTATACACTCCTGGCTTAGTAACAGAGCTACACGAGGCATTTCACTCTATTTTACACTCACCATTCATTTATATTTCGGTGCAGATACCAATCTTGATTGGTAAAAATAATATGCAAGTTAAGGGCGTTTAATATTTTGAAATACTTTTCATCAACCAAAGATCTGTTGCAAGAGAAACCTCCCTGAACTTTATTAAACTGAATCCTTGCTTAATTGGGCTATAACAAAACAATACATTTCTCGTTACAGGCCTTGACTTATTGAAAATTCAGCATTGTTTTTTTTATGGCAGTGAGTAGTAGAGTACTAACTGGTCAATGTATTTGTCGTACCGGAACCTATTATATATTAAATAATATTATTGTAAAAGTTTGTCTTGTTTGACCCAAACTTTGAATAAACTTACAATGTTTATGTTTGCAAGAATATGTCTCAATTTGATTCAGTCAATTGTTTTCATATTAAAAAAAACAGAAGTAATTGAACAGATAAAGAAGCAAATTGGTCAAGCCCACTCCAGGACAATAAATAACAGGTCATCACCACTTCAGCGACACGCTAAACCACTTTGATCAAACTATCTCAGGACAAGCTGTCTTTTACATTTCATTTTTAAATAATTTAAACAAACTAACAGCTTGTATTGTATTACAAATTAAATAAACAGACATTTAAATAAAGTAAAATTAACAAATTTTGTCATAGCTGAGAACCTAATATTTTTTAGTAATAAATTCTCATTTTCAATAAATAATCATCTGAACAATTGATTTATTATCTATATATTTAATACACAGTTGTAACACTGTTTTCTCAGTAATTACTGGACCGATCTACAAGATTTATGTCTCAAATTAAAGGGGATAGTGTGTAGATTTGCCGAACTTCCTTAGAATTTATGTTTTTTCTAAGGGCTACGACCTACAAACCTTTAAAGGTCAAGTCAATACAATTCTTATTGAACAATATAATACACAGTTTATAAATTATTCGTCAGCTGTTTAATGTTTGTCAGACATTTGTTATTATTTTTATAACCACACTTTCAGTATGCAATTATTAAACTTGGAGTTTCTGTTTATAAACACACGATTTTGATCAAGGAAAGTGTATTTGTTAACTTATTTTGAAATGTTTTAGTTTTCCTGCAAAGTGATCTGAAGGAAAGTGGTAATTGAGTTTAAGTTTGAGTATGGAATGTGAAATAATACCCATAGTAGGGAACGGAAACTTATTGTTTTGATCAATATAATTTATTCTCTACGGCCACCAGAATAATCATGGGGAAATCCGCTTGCAAGTTGTACATATAATTGCTAATGAGTGGGAAACATACAAACATTTTATAGTAGGAGACGAATCTTACTCAAGATCAGTGTTAGACGTTCAGTGGTACCAAACTTTACCTTCTCAAGATGGCGAGTACGCTGGGATACGTGGAACTACAATATATCAGCGAATTTTTTCAAGTAGGTACACAGGGAAGTTGCTTGAGAAACTGTGACTCACCATTCGGTTCTGGCGAAGAAGTATGTGACTTGATGTTTAATGGCAATGTTGACTCGGGTCATTATAGCGTTATAAAACTTAATCATTAACCCCAGGGTGTGAAAAGTACAAAAATAAAAAGAAAAGGTAATCATTAACTGGGCGTAAAGAGACATACCGAACGAAAAAAAAATGTAGAGAACCATCGAACTAAAAAGGTAAAGAGCAGTGTTGGTGTTAAATGTGCTCTGGAAGTCCCTACAAAAAAATACCAACTCTTTTGGATTGGGGTCGTTAGATTGGATTTGTCACTACTTCAAATCTATGAATTTCGAGTCAGAACAGTCTAACTGGGACACAAAAATGTTTTAGTTTTCCTGCAAAGTGATCTGAAGGAAAGTGGTAATTGAGTTTAAGTTTGAGTATGGAATGTGAAATAATACCCATAGTAGGGGACGGAAACTTATTGTTTTGATCAATATAATTTATTCTCTATAGCCACCAGAACAATCATAGAAAAATCCGCTTGCAAGTTGTACAGATAATTGCTAATGATTGGTAAACATACAAACATTTTATCGTAAGTGATTAATCTTACTCAAGATCAGTGTTCGACGTCCAAATTTTACCTTCTCGAGATGGCGCGTACGCTGGGATATTTGGAACTACAATTTATCAGTCAACTATACCCTAACTATATTTTTTCGAGTAGGCCTACACAGGGAAGTTGCTTGAGAAACTGTGACTTACGATTTCTGTTCTGGCGAAGAAGTATCTGACTTGATGTTTAAAGGCAATGTTGACTCGGGTCATTATAGCGTTATAAAACTTAATCATTAACCCCAGGATGTGAAAAGTACAAAAAGAAAAAGAAAGGTAATTATTAACCGGGCGTAAAGAGACTTACAGAACGAAAAAAACATGTAGAGAACCATCGAACTAAAAAGACAAAGAGCAGTGATGGTGTTAAATGTCAGTTCTAAGTATCACTTGAATCAACATCTTTCTGGTAGTGGTAGTCTACATAGTTTTAATATCCACGACTCCTTTTCCATCAAATTGGACCGTTAATACCCTCTAACCATTGAACAAAGTATGCCCAACTTTATATATACGACGTAAACACAGCTTTTACTCACAGTATGGGTCAAAGATTCGTGAAATGCGACCAACTGCTGATGCGTGATTTACATGTAGGCTAAGTGACTATCTTTATTCCATACAACAAATGTAATGAAAAAAAAACTACGAATATAGGAATATACTTGAGCAAATTATCTAAATAGCATAAATAGCTGCTTATTAGGTTGTCAGCATTGCCCAGTTCGTATACTATTTATTTTTCAAATGAAACTCAAATTAATATATAACATTCATTTGGTTAAAATAATATATCGGTTTGATTAACATAAAATAGTTTATACAGGCAAACTATCAGTTCTATTTCATGTAAAAAATTAAACAACCCCTAAATAAAATACAAAGATAATCAGTATTTGTTAATTATTATTTCTTTTATTACTGACAATATTCCCGTGGCGGAGCACGGGCGGTTAACTAGTCATGTTAAAACAACTGCTAACAGAGAAATGTCTCGTTCACTACCATGTGATCATGGGTGAGTAAATATTCCAATCTCTGTGTTGTTGATATTGACAAAAGTGTTGATAACTGACCTCAGCTCCGAACCACAACTGGCCTGCGAGATTGTCTTGCATCACGTCATCAGGGAACTTGACCCTGAAGTCCCTGTCGGCCCTCTCGTTGGGAATCAGTTCATCCATGATGCGGTTGCAGATGTTCAGAACCTGGTCCAACAAAGCCACTTAAATACTTAAGTCGTCTCCAACTGACCACATTTTTGGCATTACACACTTTTTTATTATAATATTAGTTTGGATTTAATAAACATTTATCTGAAGGTTGAAATGGTCAAGACAGGTAGGTTTGGAGCTTTTCCTAACATTGATGTAAACATTGACATGTAAATGACACTAAACAATACAAAAAAGTTAGGTAAAATTTTTAAAAATATTTTTCAATCTAAAATTATACGTTCTCTTTTTTTTTATTTTGAAGGCTATCATGTTAAGGCTATCATCAACAATTACAGTAATTTGAAATACAGTAGAACCTCTTTATTCGAACCCCTCATTGAAATGTACTCTATACACAGTACAGTAGTTATTTATTGTATACGTCACTGCAATTGTTTCTATTGTAATTTACAGTGTACTGTTTATTTACTATGTTTACTACTGTATTAAATACACACTGTATTTTACTATATAAAGCATTTTTTCACTCTTCCTGTAATAATTAAGATCCATTTTAGCCACATTTTAGATATTGTAATGTACAAACAACAATATGTTCTGTAAACTGAACTATCCCCAGTCCCAATTAGTTCGGATTATTTAGCTGCAAAGTCACCAAGGAGATATTACAACTTTTCACAATTTCATAAATAACCTTTGTTCCTTTTTTCAGTGTGTAGGCTATATAGATGAAATAGAGCAAGTATGCAGTTTACTAGTACAGACTATGTTTGTCATGAGATAAGAAGTTCACAGATTGAGCAAGCTTTGAGAGATAATATGCAGATTAGTGCTTACACATCTTGCAGCTTTATTCCATGCCGACTTTCAACATTATCTCACACTGGTCCTCAAATAGAGATAAGTGTCTAGGAAATGCGTTGAAAATGAAGAGCGTTCTCAACTATAAACTTTAGTTGTTATGTAAAACATTTTGCTTGATTTTTTTAACTCAATAAGTTTTTTCTCAAATAAAATCTTATGTAAATGGAATTGTCTGTAAATAAATGTTTTGCGTTTTGTCAATGTACAAAAACATTTGTCCCTCTCGTAAGTCTACACAGCACACAGAAGTCATGCTGTTATCATTAACTAGCACTGGCTTATCACTGAGATTTGTGTTTACAACAGCTTCATAACCATTAGTCATAATATGGCCTCACTGACATTTCAATGAAAACTCTAAATTATGTGGCATTTGCTATTTCAATTAAAACTGTCCTTGCCAATTTTATTTTCTATTTTAATTATTTAGTAGGCTATCTACAAGCTAAACTTTGTTGGGATTTAGAAGCTCTAAATTTATAATTTTCAAAGCTTTCTTTTTCTACATTATTGGAAACTACCATTAGAGAAGAAATAACATATTGTACCAAATAATGAATAATCATTGTTTTAAAATATATTATGAAGAATATTGACATAAGACTTCTTGATGTTGTGAAAAATCACAAATATGTGTATTTTATTGTTTGGTCACAGCTTTATCCGCAGAAATACATAAACAAGTTAATATAAGGAAATGTAGCAACTAAACAATAAGCAAGAAAATCTCGCTGAAAAAAATTCTTGATTTAAAACAAATTGGTGCATTTATGGAAGGAGGCTTTTGAACTTTCCGGAGACTTTGAAACACTGGCTAACTTGTCTTTCCTACCCAAAAGATTACAGGTTCCCTTGGTTTACAGGTTACCTTGAGTAAAAAAGGTTGCAGGCCTCTTGTTTGGACGATAGGAAGATGTAGGTTGGATGGAATAATTATAAATTTGGAAAATTATAAATTAGTTCATACTATAGCAAAACTTTAGTCCCTGATCTTTGTTTATTACTTTAGTAAATAAATGTCATGAAATTTTAATCTAACCTTTTTTTACTTGGTAGTCTTACGCTGACTGAAAATTTGATGATCCTGCAAGAGCTATTACATTCAGGTTTTAGCAGCACATATCCCATCCAGCCGATGGTGACATGATGGATTAATTGACTACTCGTTGTACTGCGGAGTGTATTTCTGGGGTTATTTACTATGTGCGAGTTCAATTCCCTTACGTTTGAAATCCATAAGCTTCCTAATGTGTAGCTTACCCGACAGGGAAGCCCACCTATGATAAGCAGTGTCCGGTTTGGGTGGAAGTTAAAAGGCATTAGCGCATTCAATAGGCCCAGGGATTGCATAAGACACCCGTTTCGCTTCTTTTTACAAAGGCTAGACAAGGAGGACATAGTTTTTCTATTTGGTATTAAGCAAACTGAAAGTGTTTTTAGAAGATTTGCACATTCCACTGTGTTCATAAAAATTGCAAACATAAACCTTAGAGGGCAATTCGAGATAAAAGAACGGTGTACTCAGATAAGTTGTAGTGAATAACACATTATTCTAGGTAAAATTTTAACAACTTACCTTATCCTGACATTGCCTAAGATGGTTGACCAATGAGCTACATCTCTCGGGATCTTTGCGGCCATCAAAACTGTCCAACTCAGCAGCCACCAGGTTGAGGGCTTCGTCTGCGTAGAAAAACTGAGCTAACAGAGACTGGTCATCCCTCTACAACAGCACAAGAAACACATAATATTAAACAACTTTACGACATTACAGTACAACTCCCATTATCCTAATCAATTAGGATTGTACAATATTCAGATAGGCCTAATCATAAATTCAAATGCTTGGGGTTTTTACAGAAATTCGAGATATTTGATGTAAAATAGGACGAGTCATGCCAAGTTTTTACTTTCGCGATCCCAAAACAAGTCTGCACAGATTCTGCAATCAAAACAATCACGTTTTTGCCGCAATTGCGGAGGATGAAAATGATTTCCCGTGATTGCGAGATACAATAATAATGTCTACAAGACCTCTGGGACATGTTCAAGATTTTGCCTCAATCACAGATGATGATGATGACGTTTCCGTGACTGAGGAAACAATGAAACTGTCTTCACGACCGCGGGAGTTGTTCAGGGTTTTTGCCGGATCACGGTTTCTGCCTTCTTTAGTAATGATAGTTTTCAAAAACTAACGTTTTGTTTAAAAAATTACTGTTAGTTTTAGGTATTAACATACTATCTGTAAGCAATTCAGATTAAAAAAAATTCTGATTGTTCGAGTTGAAATAACTTACTTGGAGTTCTACAATACTACCAAAATTAGTTTTTTTTTTCTTCATGTCTATGAATGTGAAAAAAGTTAGGCCCCTCTAAATTTTTTAAAGTAATGTTGGCAGAGCATGAATTTTTCTTAAATTGCTGTTTAACATATTTGTGATGAGCGTAGATGTTTGCCACAAGTGGTGTAAAAAAAGATGTAAAGGATTATATAATTTCAAAGCTAATAGATAAGAATAATTTTCGTCACGGATCTGACACAGATCATGCCTATAAATATCCACCCTGTCCAAGATTTCAGAGCTCTCCCTCCAAGCCATAATATGCTGATTGAAGCATTTTATGAAAAAAAAATCACTGAATACAATACAAAGTGAGTTGGTTTGCTGATTAGGTCAGGAAAATTAATTATATGGGTAGTATTTATTTGAGTTAAAACTAACTAAATTTAATACTTTCATAGTGGTTGTTATGTCAGTACATTTAGGTTTTGGTTGTATTGTAGCACTGTCTATAATCTTATTTTACGATTATTATATTTTAAAATTAAAAGAATCATAAGAACTAGAAATCTTTAGGTCTTTTTAAAATGTAGTTTGACTAGGTAATATCCTAATTATGCAGTTTTGATAGATGTCAAATCATTCATATCATATACATGAAGCACAGTGATTTTAAAGCCAGCTGTATTTAAAAATTACACCCATCGTACTTTGTCTTACTAAAAGGAGCATTATGTACAAAAGTGAAGAGAATGAATATTGCTCATAATGAATGTTTGATTTTAAAATCCAATAGGGGAATGTTTGGTTTTGATTAAATGTTTCCTGGATATGCTCGTCTTGTGTAAAATTTTTGTTAAAAATCAGTTATGGACTGTTAAACTAATTGATGAATTTAATGTTGGATCAGTAATCAAATAGAGTAGGCCTATGCCTAGACAGTTATAAAGTGCAATATGAAGTTGCCTGGTGCAATATGACAGGTGAGATACGCCAGGAAACTTTCACAGCCTGCTGCTGTTGCTTGTTACGCTTGCTTGCTTTCCCTCATTGTCACTAGCCCCCCTCCCCCTTCCCCACCACTACTCCTTACAGTTGCATCACAAGGGCACAGTTAGTGGTGCATGTCAGGCTACACAAAAAACATCTACTACACTGATTGACAATTACTATTTACTAACCAAAGAGTTTTGCACCTACTTCCTACTCCGTAATTTTGGAACACAGGAAAAATTAAGTTATCATTTGGTAATGGTCCAAGTGGAGAATTGGCTCTAGCTAACCAGAGTGATCTGACTTAAGATGTAGGCCTGAAAGGTGTTAAATATTAAGAGAAGAAACAATTTTGTTTATATTAATCATATACGAATTATGAATTATTATTTGGATAGGTCCTTAGTGTATATTCAAACTGTAGATAGTGTAGGCTACATATTGTTTGATAATATACAGCACAGTATGGATTGTGTTAATCAATATATTATAAAATGTGTGATGAAAATTTGTTTAAAAATTGTCCAAATAACTGGAAAACTACCTACCTACTTTACAGCCTCCCCTTGACAAAGTTAGCAGTATTATGTTTCATTGGTAGGTAAATATGTCAATTCAGTTGACAATTCCATAACAAGTAGAAATTTAAAATAAAATAAACACATTAGCTTAATAATTATATAAGTCTGCTTCTTTAGAAACAATTCACTTAAAAAACCCCAACAATTGACACAAAACCTTTCAGTCGATCAGCCAAGTGTAGATCACTAAAAAAGAGCACCGTGGTAGGCGGCCCACTTCTTTGAAAGAATGGAATTTTATAACCATAACATAAAATTATAAATACCGGTGTACATTCAATATTTTTTTATATTTATTTATTGACGGAAACTCCATTTTATATGTACACACAGAGATATGTTCAGACTTGACACATTTTGTACATCTGTTGTTATGTATTGAATGTAATGTTTTGATAGATTTTTAAATATAAAATGAAAATGAATTTACTAAATCCAACTCACCCTATATATAACACACTTCATAAAGAGTGAAATTGTGTAAAAAGGGTATACAATTTTGGAGGATAATAGGCCCAAGTTAAAAGGGGGGAAAGCGATATGTCCAAAAAATGGGTCGCCGGAATTCTACCCCCAGAAATTGACCCCCATGAAAAAACGCCTGCGTCATTTTGACGTCACAGGTCTGTGGGTAGATTTCCCGCCGCAAACTTTTAGGCCAGATAAATTATTATTTACAGTAGACTCCCTCTAGTTCGGCCACCTCGGGACCAAATCACTGACCGGACTAAAAAACGGCCGGACTAACCGGATGTAGTGCAATTTACATAATCAAAATACAAATAATAGTATTGCGCAATCGTGATATGTTAAGTCATTAACCTTGGTTCAGTAATAAAAACTGTAACGTTTAAAATCACGCTTACTCAAGGAAAACAAAAATTACACAACACTGTACGTACAGCAATAAATCACGTAAAGAACAGAGCAATAGAAAGTCTAGTACTGCAACTACTGCTACCGTAGTCAGCATAGGCTACTACTACATGTTGTTTCAGAACATAAGAATGTCGATAAAAACATTTGATAACTCATAAAACAGCATAAAATCATAGTAATAATTAGTCTTAAAGATAAGAACGACAGTCCCGTAAAATAGGATGAAGATAACAATGGATGACGTAAAACACCGGCTTAGGCTATTCTCTTTTTGGTTTCTTTTCATCCACATATTCAACAAGTTGCCATGGTTACTAATCACCCAATCACAAACTGATGTGAGATAGCAAGCGCACAGCAGACATCAGTTGTGTTTAAAGAGCAGATGATTGTCAGTGCAAGCAGATAGCTTGACCTTGAAGCTAACAATGGCTATTTCTTTGTTTTGCTTTAATTTATTTTTGTCAAATAAACCGTGGTGTTCAAAAACAATAATGGGGGAACCTACCACATAAAAAATTGGTCCGAAATATTAAATTATACACTGCATTTCAACATATTAGACTGAAGAAAAACTGTTTATAAAATGTTCTTGGTATTTTTGAGGTTATGTTTAACATAGTTTTACATACGTAATGTGCAACAATAATTCACCCATAGAAGCACCCGTCAACTAAACTGACATGAATTGTTTACTTCTATGGCCGGAAACTAAACATTCTTCCAGTTGAATCCTGTCGAAGGTCATTCGCCAATGACGATATGACTTGTCCTCCTGAGACCGTGCCGAACCATGCGGCGGCCGATCCAACCGAAGCCGAACTAGAGGTAGTCTACGGTATTTCAATCAACTCACATTTCACTGTTTACATTTGTAATTACAGTAATCAAAATCCCAAAACAACCTGACACCAGAATTTTACCCCCAGAAATCTATCCCCAGTGATCGAATCAGAAATGTCCTACCCCGGAATTCTACCCCCAGAAATCTTCCCCCCGGGGTCGGCTACGCTACCCATCGGCCAAGATTCATTGTTCTAGGTGACTTTAACCTAACACTTAGGATATTGAATGGTAACTATTAGTCGTAGAGCCATTGATTTACATAAACCAATCAATAAAATACACTACAATACATTGAATATTGGCCGATACATAGCGTAGCCGACCACGAGGGATAGATTTTGAGGGGTAAAATTCCGTGGTATGGCAAATCACTTTTATAAGCAAACAATTAAGTTACATGTTAGTTACTATTTAATAACATATTGGGGGTTAATTTCCAGGCGCATGCTGTTTCTCGATCGAGTATATAGTAGAGGTGAGTACGGTAACTCCGGAGTGAACTACTCCGAAAGAACTACTACGGAATGACAAATCCAACTCCGGCTCTAGGATCAGAACTATTTCCTCTCGGGACTAAAGATAGTCAAGAGACTGTTACCGGTAGGCTATTGGTTAAAATACATTATATGTAATAAATTTGAGGTTTGTACCCAAAATAAATATTTAAAATTGTAGGCTATATAAAATCTGTTTAAAATTAATATAGGCTATTAAGACCAGTAATTGATATTATATACTAATGAGACTAATGAGAGATCAGCAAATCTAACATCACAAGAATACGACAAAAACGACTCACTCACTGCCCTGCTACTGTTTCGTCATTGCTCACTCTACTACTGTCCTAGCTTCATCATTTTGCTTGTTCCATAACAACTACTGGAATGGAACTAGTATCCACTTTTAACCAAGAGGTGATGCCAAGAAGAACGATAGACTGGAACTATGAACCAAAATGGTTGGTGAGTGTGTGGAAGCGCGCCGAAATGCAATACCCACTCCCACACTCCGAAAGTTCGGCGTTCAGCGGTCTTGCAACGGAGTTGGAATTTCTCCGCGGAACTAGTTCTGACAACTGAATAACTCGGGAGTGAACGACTCCACCAAGTAAACGATAATTCCCATCTCTAGTACCATAGGCCCTGACCCTCGTGACGTCAAAATGAAGTATGCGTTTTTTCATGGGGGGAAATTTCAACAGATTCAAATTGGGCAAATTGGACAGAAATAAACAGAATCAATTAATTGTCGGAAAACAACCGACTAGTCAGTTGTTCTCCCGGATATGATTGAAACTAGTCACTTCATACTCCCGGTCTTACGGCGACTGAAACCAGTCAACCAATTGTTGGAATAACTGGAAACAGTCAAACGTCGGTGATTGAAACTATTTAGTCGTAAGAACCACTGACTGTTGTTGAGACTGACTGGTGAATGAAAACGATTGAAGATAAACTCGTACTGTACGGCCTACACGAATTGTGAACAGTGTTTAGGTATAATTAAAATAATGTAATTATGTGTATTTTTTATGTCTTTAAAATGTTTACCTAATTTCCTAATCACTGTTTTTCAATTAACTTACTCATGATTTAGATGTAGCCTAAATGACTAATCCTGTAGGCTATAAACTATAACAATGTTATTAAGTAGGCCTAATAAAACATATAAAATTTCAAACACAAAAGACAACAAACGATAAATAAACAACAAAGAATCAAACGTTTCCAGTCCAGTAATAAAGGTAATGTGATCGATTATTTTCCTTGCAATGACTGAATCCATTGCGCCGATTAGTCTAAACACCACCAGTTGTAGTGGAATTCACTCGGTTGTTCATTCGACTGAAATAACTGACTGGTTTTAAAAACAACCGATTGACTAGTCGATTGTCTTTTCCAGTCAGTTGTCCCATCACTAAGTTACTATCTTTTGTGATTGAGCCTTTAGAACGCCTAGGACAACAGCTGTTCTTCATGACATAAGTGAATAGGTAGGACATAAAATGAATAAATTAGCCTTTATGGCCACAATAGCATCTAACACATTGAATAAGAAAGTTATAAAATTAGGCTAGATGTCTTCATAATGTAAGTTAGCATAAAACATTATATTTCAAACTGTTTGAACTTGGTCCTTCGATAGTAAATAAAGGAATTAATGGGAGTTGTCTTCATTGCAATTTTTTTCAATCCACCAATTAATTAATTACATAAAGAGGAAATTATGAACATGATCGAGTAATTTAGAAATATCAGTTAAATAGGTCAAAACTAAAATTACAGTTCCACTTACCCTAGGTTTATAAAACCATTTTCGAAGAGAATCCATTGCGTGATTGTATAGGTAAAATACACTGCTAAGAGACCGAGAAAAATATTAGCAAGAACAGAAAATGTACAGGCATCTTATAAATGAAGGAATTAAATTCGATGTCTTCGTAGCAGCCTGCACAAAGTGATAATATAATCCTAGTCCACCATTAGTCGTCAGTCAGTCGTCCGTCTCCGTCACTCTTCTCTTCTTTCTTTCCTTTCTTCTATTTTTGTTGTAATTTTTACTTGTTTTCGTTTTCCTACAGCTCAAGTTTACAGTAATACCAACAGATGAAAATCTTGTTAACACAGGTCTTAAGCATAAACTTATACATAACTCTGGTAAACATAACAAAGCATAACAGTGAATAAAATCCGGAATAGAGCCTGTTTCGATCAAAAATATAAATAATGTCATAAGTTTACCCCACGATTGCTGTTTACCCCTAGATAAAAATCACCCCCTTGTGTTGGTTAGTCTATGGTGGAACTCCCTATTTTGTGCACCCTCGTCAACAAATTCAATACATTTAGCAAAATAACCACTTAGAATGTAGATATATACATGAAACTTAAGAGAATATCCTAACATGCAAATTGTGCGTTTAGTGTTCCATTAAGTGAGCTGTCCAAACTACACCTTTTATAGATTACAGTATAATGTTTTGTGGTTAGTTATAATTTGTATGTTGTATCATGACTTGACTGCTATATAGTGCATATTTTTTTGACTGCTACCCTTTGTAGTGTATTCCATCTTAGGTTGGGCGTTTGTGTATTGTTAGCTGTAATGTGTTGGTTAAGTTTTTTTCACCTGAGGACGGGTTTAGATTCCAGATCCCGAAACGTTGTGTATTTTTTTACCATCGTAATGAAAATTGTCCGCAATAAAACCAATAAACATTTGAACAACATTAACTCACCATCAGCAATAATGAATTTCAAACTACGTGTTGTATTTAAATTTAAAATTAAATGCCACATATAAGACAAAGAACTGTGAGTGGCCGGAGGGAACGGGAACGTGACCGCTTGCAATAACCTCCCAATGTACTGTAGTACATTTGATGGATACACAGTGGCAGTACTATTATAGTCCGCGTGGTGCTGCATTCAACCTCAGACAAATTAACGTTAAAATGTTTACAGTCTAAACCTTCGCTAAATCATCACGATGTTGTCCCCTGGCACTGCGGAGTGGGGGAAGCAAAGCATTCTATTGGCTGAGGGAACACCATTACCGCAACGTTACGGTTTGTAGACACCGGCCTCGGTGGTCTAATGGATAACGTGCCGGGCTGAGGATCTGAAGGTACCAGGTTCGAATTCTCTCGGTACCACTAACTTTTTGTCTAAGATTTTTGCATTATCAGCAAGTTTGGTTAGTTTGGTTAGGTTATGACAGTTTAATTTGTTAATTAAAATATTATAAAATTCAATTTGAGCTATTATAATTTTAGAACTATTTTTTTTCTATTAGTAAACCTTGTTCGATTTTTCATTATCAGCAAGTTTGGTTGGTTTGGTTAGGTTATGACAGTTTAATTTTATAATTAATAAATTCTAAAATTGAATTCAAGGCATTTATAATTTTATTTTATGAACAGAACTATTTTTTTCGATTAGTAAACCTTCATTCGATTATTATTTTATATATTTTTTATATAATCAGCATGTTTGGTTGGTTAGGTTAGTTTATGACAGTTTAATTTTATAAATATTCATTTTTTAACTTATTGAAAAACTGCAGCATAAGGTATATGATATGCATGTAAAACAACGCGGGCTTGCTTGGACGCCGTCTAGAGGGGAGGTGGAGGGAGAATCATTTCCCCCACTCCGCAGCGCCAGGGGACAACATCGTGATGATTTAGCGAAGGTTTAGACTCCAGTAGAAAAGCAAAAGACTGGCTGAGTCAGTTCATAATTTTCACTCTTTGTTGCCATTGCCAGAAAAGGTTCGTTTACCTCATTTTCGGAATTCACCATACTTTCAGGAATTGGAAACTCCCAATCTGAAAACAGGACTGCGTGGACTTACAGTACATTCAGAAATTATATGTATTGACGAAATTATATTCGTCGATTCAATTCCGCCTTTTGTTATAGTCAGATCCGAAGATCATTTTAGATGAGAGGATCACGCATGGGATCACAAAATTCAAGATCAATGACATGTTTTACCACCGATTTAGGTCCTCTCATCCCTCAAGAAGGTCGGGATCCTAAATACACACATATGTACGACGTTGACACTGGAACCCAACCCAACCCAACAGTTCCACAGCGTATGAAACCAAATGTAGACAAAAAATGTAATGACATTAGGGAAATAGGGTCACATTGAAAACACCAACCAATTGGTCTCCTCTTTTAAGACTGTGACAGAAATTTGTGGGGACGAGAGCTCCGAGGAGTCAAATGAGATTATATTATTGAAAGTTGTAGTTATGATCGATTTTGAGCAACGTGTTTTCTAGTTTAGGTTAAAACAGGGATGGAAACAAAAATTAAGAATAAGAGAGTTGTTCTCCAAGGATCTAGCCGGTGTTCTTCGCCTTTTAAAGCCAGTTTCTCTACCATGGCGAGTTTAAAACGTGGCCGTGGTTTAGCAGAGCTTGTCGTGGTGGCACCTTTACGGGCACGTACTGAACATGTCAACCCACCTCAGTATTTTTGTAGTGGTGGGTTGTCGTCGTCTCTGATTTTGTACGTCTGTTAGATTGTTTTTCCCCTAATGCCAATCTAGGGTATAGCTTTTGGGGCGATTGCGATGTTTTAAATGTGCCAAAGCTAATGAATACTAAAAGTGTGAATAATGTCAACCCTTAAAATATCTTACTCCTAAGAATTACTACAATTAACAACCATGCCTCTATCTAAATACTATACAGCCGCATCTATTTGTATATAGTGCTTTATGCCGGACACCGAAAATGAATGCTTCAACGCTACGCTACAGATGGCTTTGCTGTTAACTTCGTTCGCCTCGTCCCGTTGCGACCGTCGCGTCGGCCGTCAATTTAGTTTTCTCAGTTCTCTCAAGGATTCAATATGGCTAATGTCAGAGACAGCGATACTTCCTTGTGGCTTCACAACAAACTGGGAACTTCAAATGATTCTTGGACGGGCGGTTCGATTTGTTCACAGTTAAATGCTGAAGTGTTAAGAAACATTAAGGACTGTTTCCCTGATCTCCAGACTCAAGTAAAACTCAAACTGTTGTTGTCGTTTTTCCACATACCACGAAGAAACATTGAGGAGGTGTGCCTTTTTGTACTTAATTTGACGAGTGTTTAATATAATGTATATCCAATCTCTTGAATTTTAAATAAAAATGCTCTTTATCGTCAATTAATGAGCTTCATATTGTTAACATAGCTCTCCATTCAAAACAACTGTAAAGTACGAAAAGTTTCTAAAGAATATATGCCTAGCCTATGCATCAATAGCATTAAGTTAACTTAAAGCCTATGCACTTAACTTATAGCCTATCAATGAAACATAGGCCTGATCAAACTTTGGAGAATACATTTTAAACCAGGCTATTAGCCTATTTGGCTCTATTCATGGGCCTAAATAATTAGGTATAACTTAGGGCCTAAGTTAGGCCTAGTTCGGTACTTTGATAGCCTATTGTAGCCTATGGACGCCACATATTTGAAAGCATACTGAGGCGGTTATGCTAGGTTGGGAGGTAGACTTCTGTATCTGTTGGCACAAACAACCGAATGAAAATATTGATTACCGTATTCGATTGTTTCATTCGATATATTGTTTGGTTTGTTAGGTTAGGTTTAGTACCTTATTACCTAAACTTAATAGTAACTTATTAGTACCTTACCTAACTAACCAAACGATATATCGATCGATATATTCGTTCGGTTGTTTGTGCCATCAGATACGGAAGTCTACCCAGGTTGGGTTATCATAAATATGTTTGTAGGACTTTCCTCGTTACGTTAGGAATTGAATGATATCAGATGAGTCATACTTTTTTTATGACTAACATAAGTAACCGCCGCAGTGCGCTGTATAAAGCTGGCCTCCGTATAATACCAAAGTAACCCTAAGTGTTCTTATCGTAATCACAAGACTTAGTGACACATGACTTGCAAACCTTATTACAGTATACATAACTTAGTTAACTTAACAACTAGTGGGGACTAACAAGTCCCCCCACCCCACGGGGTTAATCCTTCACGGACGGGTGACAAATATATCCGCCTAAGTCTTTGGCGATAAAGGACGGGTGGCGGATATATCGTCTTATGGTTTTTGATGTTCCGGATATATCTGCCAAATGCATTCACATGGTGGAATTTACTCAGGCTATGGTCAAGCCTTCTCTACAGACAGACTGGCAGGTGCTTGAGCAGTAACCAGATGTTTCGCGGTACCAAGGCGCCACTTTCCTGCTCTCTCCCGCGCCTACCCCTCTTCCGCGCCTCCCCCTCTCCAGCGCATCACCCACCTCTCCTACGCTCCCCCCTCGACGTTTCGCGCTCAACACTACATTGTCTTTATTTATTTGTTTACATACCTATTGTTCTTTATTTATTGCCTAACGTTGTCATGGTCATATCTTCAAAGACGGGTGGCGGATATATCCGGTGCTTTTCTACTCATCCGCAGACGGGTAGCGAATATATCCGCATAATTAAAAACGAGTAACAAATTATTTTGACAGTAGGCTATGAAGTGGTCCATTGTGTTATTTTATGTATAGGCTACTTCTATAACAAAACACAAATGAGGAAAATTAACTTTAATTTTTTCTTATAATTTTTCCCTGTTCTATGTCATGATTTTGCCCATCCGGGAAGGGTTAAGTTTTTAATTTATAGTTAATAGAATAAAAAGTTAATATTTGTGTTTCATTAATTCATTTAGAGGCTCCAGGCTTCTAGTATTAAATTCTTGTCACTTGAAATGGGACAGTTCCATAGAGAATCAACAATAAGTTTGGCTAACCGATGAAACATCAGTTCAATAAAGAAATCGTAGCCTATTGTAAGCTATATCGTTTTAATGCAATCAAAAAATCACACCAGGACTGAATAGGCTTATGAATATTTTAAGCCATAAGGTAAACCTACCAATTAGGCTACCGAACACTCGCCAAATACGGAACGCACCAGTTTTTGCCTCAAATTATAAGCATCTGCTTCATTTTATCAATACCAACTGAAGATTAATCTATTTGTGGACATTTTATCTGTCCGCAGACAAATGGGTCTGTATATCGTTATTGATTAACTTACTAGATTCAGTGAGCCTTACTAGATTGGCCATACTGTCCTACAGTTTTGGCGAATTCCTTTAAATTGTTGTCTGTTTTTTTAAGAAAACGATCGACTTCCTTATAGGCTAATAATGATACACTGCTAATTTGTGATTAAGAACAGTTTTTAATGTTATGATTTATATATGCTGCTTTCATTTAAAACCATAATAAATAGGTAGAAACTAACTTATTGTAAAATTAATCCTCTCAAAAGTTGGTTTTACCAAACAAAACTCACCAGTAAAACAAGCTTAAGTGCAACAACAGAAAGAAAAGTTTGCTTGCTGTGTCTATTGTCAATCACCTGCTGCTTATCTTGTTCTGATGTTGCCTAAATTTTATTTTAGTGGCGTGTTGAAATGGAAGAAATTCTTGAGGTAGCTATGGTAGACAGTGAGCAGTGGGTGTCAATGCTAGCTGAAATGATGAGGACAATACCCAGTGCTGGCTGTTTTAATGATGAAATTAGTGAAAACGAAGAAAATCGTCGCATATTTTCGGATCTAGTTAATGATCTGCGGAAATTAGGTAAGTTTTTTTAGTATGTAAAAAATAGTTGATAAGCCTTGGTAGGCTACTGTAAGGCCCTACACATTTTCTATAAATGGTTTCTCATCAGCTGCATTTGAATTATTGTGGCTTCACAATCAATAAAAAAATATATAGCCTACGGTATATGTCTCTTTCAAAATTTCGTTTTAATAGCCTAAGTCAAGAATAGACCTAGGCTTAATAATTTTTCATTTAACAATGCCGTGATTCTGGTTCCGCAATTTAATACAAGAATTTCAAACCCTTTTCAAATTATGCTTGTGATTAGATACGAAAAATGTCACCAATTTTTATAAACAGGCTCTAAGAGTAATTTGTTTGAATTCTAGATAGGCCTATTAGTTGTAGTCTTGTTTAATCTCTTACCATTTACTTTTAAACTTATAAAATTGTTACTTTTTGTTACAGTGAGGAAAAATGTGGACCTTGGAATGCTGCCGCTGGAGTGCCACTACTTGAACAAGTCAGCTTTAATCAGTGTGGTGGGACAGCAGGTAGATCAAATAATAGTGTTGTATAGGTGCTTCTTTTAGAAAATATTACAGTACTGTCCAACTAATTCAGGCCTTGATCAAGCTCCCATCGCAGTTAATCGAGCTACGAAATAAATGAAACCAAAAATATTAATATTAGTAAACATTGAAAATAGAGGTGAACAATACGATGAGAGTTATCATTTTCAAAGCCCCTCCTTAGTTCGCGTCCGAACTATATAAAAGTGTGTTTAAATTTCAATTGTTTAAGCCTGGTTGATCGACCAAAGATTTTGTCATCAGCCAATAAGTGATTGAGTAGGTTTAAGTTTTATAAATTAAGATTCACAATTAATTTAGATACAAAATTTGAATATTGCTTGTGATTGAATAGTGAAATGGACTCCAATTTTCTTTTCCAGCCCGTTCTTCCGAAGCACTTTACGTTAAAACGAAAGCCTAAGTCTGCAGCTCTGAGGGCAGAACTGCTGCAGAAGTCGGCTGATGCCATGAGCAACATGAAGAAGAGCACAGCCCCCACTGTACCTGTCAGGTCTCGAGGGATGCCTAGGAAAATGACTGACACCAGTAAGATCACAAATATCAACCTGTCAAATATTAAGTTACGAGTTAAGCTGGTAATATGAGATATTGAAATTGTTACACAAAAAGGGGGGTAAGTCAGTTTTTGGAGTAGATTTTTTCGGACATCTTTTTTTTCTCAGTAAATAGTTGAAGTTTAAGGGACATACCTGTTCAAAGAGATCTACAACAGTAGGTTTTTACACTATTTTAATTACTGTCATCTTAAAATACACAACTATATTGAAGATAGTTCTTTTCTAAACTATTCAACAATGGTTTTTTGAACTTTTATCTTTACCACTGTATAAAATATGAGTGTCTGCTCCATTACATTCTGTTAGCCAAGCTGGGCCAACTAACCACGCCACAGCTGACAAATTTCTGTTGCGTAGCTTACTTACTCATCCGTTTGAATGTTTGTGATGATTTCAGTTTATCCGAATTTTAGTTTAACAGGGTTCGGTTTAAATGAGTGTACTGTACTACTGTAGCCTACTTATTTTTTAATAAATCTATCAGGGCTGTGCATAATTATCGGAATACCCAATTGTATATCTACTCTATCCAGCGATCAATGCACAGGTTTGCTATAGGCTACTTGGCAGATCCACATTGGCCAAGTGCTGGGCTTAGTGAAATCACGGATAGTGAGAATTATTAATTGACCTTCTCATCAATGAAAAAAACCATAAAATCCAAGCAGCAGTTAAGCTTCTTACTTATGTTACTTCGATAATGTAAATAGAATAAGTGTTTGAGTATAGTTAACTTTATGACTAGACACAGTACACAAGTAATTTTCATGAACCGTGTGTATGCAAAATTGTGCAAACCGGAACCATCCATAGGAAGGTCTAACTTTATAGGTGGATGGATTACATTGAGAGTTATCAGTAAAAAAACAATTGTCAAACCAATGTACATCCAATGGATGTTGTTTTGCAGCCCCATTAAAGGGTATCCCCAGTCGAGTGCCGACGGGTGGGTTCAGATCACCTTCACTCAACAACCCTCTTCTCTCAAGACCCTCTCTGTCTCGCACACCTGCAGGCCGCAAAGACGGAGGAATAAAGCTACTGGACATCAATGAGCAGCCTCTGGGCTACGCTCAGGCAAAGAAGAGGAAACGAATGCAAGGTTGGTGGGAACTTTTATTAAATAATGAATAGTTGGTTTATTTAATTTATTGTTTTTGTAAAGTGAAAGAGGATTTATTGGTTGTAAGTCTGCAAACCTTGTTTTCTGATATTTATTTCTTTATTTAGACTTTTATTTAACGATGTAAAATGCTTAAACAAATGTTATTACGGTACTAGAAATTTTTAATATTACTTTTATTAATAAGCATTTTTATGACAAACTATTTTATGTAAGAGTTAATATCATCTTTTAAGTGCCAAATCATAGTTCTGTAGATGCTATCTTCCTCTGTAGAGGTCCCAGGTTCAAATCCTGCCAAATCACCAATGGATTTTATCCAAGTAATAATGCCGCAACCCCTAGGTCTAGCCTGAAGTACTGTATTGTGAAAAGCAATCCCAGGCTCGTGCCTAGCGTCCCGGGACAAAAAAAATCTTACCTCTTAGACAAGTTCAGTCAATTTTAGTCATTGAAATTAACTAGACGTACACATTTACTCTTTTCGTACTAACTCTGAAGTAGAACTGACATTTAATATTTCTTGGAAAACGCGAAAGCTGTCCTCATGAAAACCACTCTAAGAGTTGATGAAGTTTATTTAGATTTCTATGAAATACAATAGCTGCAAATATTGTTATTGAACCGTTTGTACAGTCTAATCTAGTGTTTGAGTGGTTTGTTTGTGAGTATCTTGCTGGTTTGTTATCAGAACTGGAGGAGGCTAAACGAGCTGCAGAGGCGGCTCAGGCAGCTACCCCCACCACCACTGGAGGAACACCGGACTACGCTGCGGGGCTCACAGCTCTCAACCCAGCGACACCTCAGCCTGTCTACACTCCTACCACTGCACGTGAGTCCAAATACTTCCTTTCTTTAAATTTAGGCATACTGTTTAAATTTTTAATGATGGAGTTTTTTAACCACACCCCCCCCCCCCCCCACCCTCCCCATGACCAATGTGTCGTCAAGTGGTGTGATTGTAAAAAGATGAACTTTATTTTATGTTTTGAATAAAAAAACTTAGGCCTTACAATTACCCCAAATTTGTATGTAAAATCACTCCAAAAATGATTAGTTCGTAGGGTAATATCATACGTAAATTTTGTTTATGTTCACACCAACCCCACTTGACCCTGTGTGTGCAATAATTCAAGAAATATTTCTATGACCAATCACCTGAACTAAAGTATAGTTTTACAGTCAAAATTATAATCATTAATCCACTATAATATGTGTAAAATAATTTAAATAATTAAATGTGTTATTATTTAAAATACTTAAATTCGAGTGTGTCATATTTGAAGTTCAAATGAAATATTTTTTTATTTAGATAATATTACTGTGATGCCCTAGAAAGAATCCCCTGTTCAAGAACCGGGTCATTTTCTTAAGATAGTTAAACTTTGATGTTTGAATCTTATAATGGGTTTTGTGGAAATAAAAAATGCTGTGATAGTAGGCCAAACTACCTGTTTATGATAAGCTAGAGGTGAATTATATAATAAGAGTAAGTTTTTATCGTTAAATTGCACCAAAAAAATGTGTTTTTTTTAGATTTTGTAACCTTTATTTGTATACTTTTTGCACTTTAAAAATTCTCATTTTATTCTAACAATAACTATTTTAGATAAAATGTTAAGTTAGTTTTAAAATATTCAATATCCTTCCAGTTTTGATATTTCTTTATGAAAAGACGGATTTGTTTGCCTATAAGTTACTCATAATTATTATGTCTTTCATTTAGGAATCAATCCTTTCCTTACCTCTCCTTTGATGTTGCCATTTACATTCCAAGCAATACAGAAGAATTGTAAGTAGGCCTACTTACCTTGCTTAAGATAATAAATCAAAAATATAGTTTTGATATAGGCCTAGGTAGTTTTGATTGAATAGCTGTTTTTCCTACAAATATGGCGTGGTTATAAAAGCCAAAGTTGTTTTTAACTAGGTAATCATAAATAAAAAGGAAATTCTAAAAAAAAAATGCATTGTAAATATATATGTTTTGTGCTATGTGTAATGTTGACTCATTGACGACAACATACGTGTCTAACCCGTTACCACATTTTAGTGTGAGATAGTTGTACAGCTAACCGATTGGCCCTCAAGTAGTACATCTTCTAACCTACAAGCTCTGTTGTCATCGTGTGCTTATATTGGCAATTTACCGGTTCGGCCGACGGTGGCATGGTGGCTCAGTTGGCTAAGGCATTGCACTGAGGAGTGTAGGGCTGTGGCCTTTCTACAAGCGCGGGATCAAATCCCATACGTGTGCAATCCATATTGAGCTTGCTAATATGTAGCTTAGCTGGCGGGAGAGGCCTACCTTAAATAAACACTGTCCAGGCTTGGATGGGTGTTGACAGCATAAGTGAGTTTTATAGGGATTACACACAACACCTGTTTTGCTTCTTTTTACTTAGGTTAGAGGAGGAGGATGCAGATTTTTGGCTTTTATTTATTTTTTAACTAATTTGGGTAGGTGAGTGTTTACTTATAGTGCTCACCTAACAATCAATAGCTTGCCGGATCGATCCTGAGAAAAGTTTGTAGCTTTTTGATAATCCAAAACAGGGCCCTGCTGTTCTTGAAAATTGGGCTTTAATGATCCTGACTAATGAAACATCTGATCTTAGTCAGTAACAATGCTACACAGATCATCTCACTCCATTCTACACTCATCCTTTGTCCTTCTCTTATTTGGGTTAAAATACACACCTTTGTCAAAATAATTTCTTTAAATTATCCTGTGGGCACTCTTATTGAATAAACAAACCAAAACGTTAATTGGTGGGTAACTTCCCCTTTGTGTTAAAAATACCAAATACCATTTTCTACCTTAGGAGGGTTCTCCTGTCACGATAACCCCACGGTGTTTGACCTTTGTTAAGTATTTATTCATATTTTGTAAATCACAATTATTTTGAGAGTAGGCTAGTATTCTATTTATTTGAAAAATAAGTGTGATTCAGCAAGAATCAGTAATATAGGTCTAGGCCTAAGCAGTTTAAAATTGAATTCACATTTTCACTTCTCTTATCTCTTCAAGCCTATTAAATCTATAACAATGAACCAAGTTATGCTTAGTTTTATGGCAAGGTCATGTGTTGATACATCAACTAAATCCATGTATTTATTGATTGTACACATAAAAACCAACAATCACAACTTTCTCCTTACCATTAAGTGATTTTTCACCTTTCCTGTTAATTAGTGATGGGCGGATCCAATAAAATGTCGGTGCAGGATCCGGATCTTGAAAAGTTTAGATCCGGGTCCAGATATGTACTGCCATAAGAACAGGTTTTAAAAACGCTGGCTTATTGAGCAGAGGCTAAAATAACTGTTATTGGTAGAGTGGTCAAAACTCAAAATGCCGCTAAAATACAAAGTAAAAACACCTATTAGTTTGTGTTCAAGGCCATTTCCCCCAAAAGTGCCTAGCTCTGCCAAACGAGCTCAAACCCTGCCAAACACGCCGGAAAGGTTTGTTCAGTGCAAAAAATCTCCTTAGTAGACTGATACCTGAGTTTTAAATGTACTGAAATTGTTAAATGCTGCATTAGCGGAGTTTCACTGTAATGACATTGTTACCAACAAAAGTCTTTCTGTTTTACATTTTTGGCAAGACTGGTCTTTTCTGTTACATCGTTTCTTACACTGAGGGCTCTTTCTCTTACATTGTTCCTAACACAGCCAGTCTTTACTTTTTACAGCGTTGGTACCAATGTGATCTTTTCTGTTACATTGTTGGTAATACTGTGCTGACATTTCAGCTGGTACAACAGCCGCTGGGCTCAAGACTGATCCTTCCAACAACCAGGTTGCCGAGACTGTCACTGTACCAGCCTCCCCAGCTCCTCCCGTGGTCCATGTAAGTACCTCCTTCATTCAGCATAGTAGTCAACACTAAAAGGGTTTAACACAGATTCTTCTGCTGGTGTTTATATCTCTCAAAATCCTCTTATTGTTTTTTTTTTCCTTTTTTCTTTTTTTTTTTGTTGTCGGTTTTTGTAACTTTTGCTGAACTAGACCCTTAGCTTCATTTTACCATAGACTAACCAACCCAAGTAGACTTCTCATCCCATTGTAGATTTTGAAGCTCGCTTTACGTGTCTAGTTCATGTACGGTGACACTGGGTGCTAGTGTCGATGAAATTTTGTTTCTACTATTTTAGGGCTAATTTCTTGATATGTGCTTTACTGTTTGGTTATATAACTAGAGGACAAGCTATTTTTTAGGATTAGATCGGTTTTTTTTTTGTTGTTAAACGAGGTTTTAAATGCCTGAAATAACAAGAAACAAATTGTAAACAAAACGCGACCTCTACAGGACACCGTACAGAACTAACAATAAAATTGTTTTCAGCTGTTCAATAAGGATGAGAAATCTACTAAGGGAGTATGTTTTATCTATAATTCTACATACATTTGTAATTTTCTCCCCCTATACATAGTATATGGAAGAAGTATTGTTTATGTAAAAATTGTTGCGTTAAAGTTTTGGAGAGTTATTCCTTTCGGATCCCTCCAGACCCAAAAAAGTGGTTTTCAAAGTGATGGCTGTGTGTGTGTTTGTCTGTTTGTATAGAATTAGTTGTGTACAGTGCCACAGACTACACTCGTGGTCTGAATTTGATTAAATTTGTTATGTGAGCACTTACTCTATAGTAAAAGTTATATCCAGAAATCTTTTAGAAATTTTGATTTTTAATGGTGATTTTACAATAAAAACCCACAAAATAACAGAAAAATCGGTTTTCTACAAAAACGGCTAACGATTTTGATTGGAATATAGTATGGTCTTTAAGTACGCCAAAAACATCTCATTGCCCTAAAATTACTTCGTATAGGAAATAAAAATAGGGGTTGGTGTTGATTAACCAATCCATAAAGAAAACTTTGTTAAAATTTTAGTTTAGGGAATAGATTTATTATTTAGGTATCAATATCGGTTTTAAGAATTGATAAATTTTTGTATCAACACATCTCTAGCTATTGTACAATGATGCTGATTTAATGGTTACAGACGACAACAACGACTGTGCCAGTGGTCCAGCTACGGCAGCCCCAACAACACACTATTGTAGCCAAAATACCAGCTTCCACAAACAAACCCAGCCTCTCTCTGACGGTGAGTTGTGAACTAGGTGCATTCTCAGTTACTGATATCAAGGGTCCAAACGACATATTAGCATAGACAATCCGACAGCAGTGCTGCGGTTAGCACATGTTCTGGCGTCCACCGCTAGTAGTGCACACCGCTGCAGCACCGCACAGCAGGAGCAACGACGGCAGCGAATCAAACCGAGCACGCTCTAGCGGCACATCGCGGAACCTTCCTTTGACAGTCTATATTTATTCTATTTGGCTATGATTTTAGTAATGTCCAATTTAAGCATTTATTTGCTATAGATATCAGATTGATTAACTTATAACTATTCTTTTATTACCTTAAGAGCCTAGACATTCTAACTCTTTAAACAAAGAACAACAAAGAAAATTTCTATTCTCACAGTATGCTCGATATTTAAATTACAATCACTGTGGTGTTTAAAAAAATATTTTGAGATGGTAAATAACTCTTCAGCGGCTGTTTGAAATGAACGAAATTTACATTGCCCTTATAGCGGGCAAATCCAAGATTAGCTTCCATGGACTCCCTTGGAGAACAACTCAAAACTACAAATACATTTCTAATCTCACAGTATACTAGGTGTTAAAATTATAACCACTTTGATATTTAAAAAAAAATATTTTTGGACGGTAAATAACTCTTAAGCAGCTGTTTGATACTATCCAAGATGGCCGCTAGCTTCCGAGGACTCTTAATTACGTAATTTAGAAATAAAACACAATTACTTTTATACTGAAATATCCAAAATCCTATTGATGTAGGGAATTGTAAAATAATTGAGTCAGTAAACTGCATTTACTGTCATCCCACTCAACTTATTTACACAAGACTAATTTTTTACTCTTACTGCGAGTCCCTCACTGTTGCAAATGTGTCAATCGATATCAATTGTAATGCTCTCACTGGACTAAGCTGTAATTTGTATATTTTACTTGCAGAGAGAGCACATGCTCGAAGCTCAAGACATGTTTAGGACTTCCAACAAAGTTACAAGGCCAGAAAAAGCCCTCATCTTGGGTTTTATGGCTGGATCTAGAGGTAAGGAAACAATTAAATAATTTATTAATTCTTATTCCGCACTTTACTTTACAAGTTAGTAACCGATTCTAGAATCTTTTATGTCAATAGTTAATTTTTTATATGTCCATTGAATACTATAAAATTGTTACTAGTGCTATGTAGATTATTAAGAATAAACAACTGTGAAAAACAAAATCCCTAGTAGTCATTGAATTTATCTACTAATAATTAATAAACATTTATTAGAGATAAGAATTTGAAACCATGTTTGTTGAATCACTTTGATTCAACATCTATATATTTCATAGTAAAGTTAAACTATTGTTAAGAACAGTGATTCATAGGCTAACACAATGCTTTTGAGTCTCTATTGTCTAATACGAATGGTGTAATTGTTATCTAGACAACCCGTGCCCACAGTTGGGTAATATAGTTACCATAAAACTGAGTGAGAACCAAGAGAACGTGAAGCAGCCTGATGACACGTACCTCACCATGTTGGTGGAGACTCACTTCCAGATGAACTACAACACTGGGGAGTGGAAGAGGATACAGAAGTACCGGGAGTTGGACATCCCTACACAGACAGCTACCACCGTCGCCACCACCCCTACGGCTGCGGCCACACCCACCACATAACAGAGCGCCTCGCTCAGGTAATCAACTCATAGTTGCCGGAATTCTCTTTTATTTCTCTATAAATAAAATATCATGCATACCTGCAATCTCAGCAGCTGACATGTTTGTTTATGTTACAGGTTATCCAAGTCTGCCTAGTAAAGTGTTCCTAAGAGGATTATCTACCTTAACAATTGGTAGATGTAGAAATTGTTTGCTGAGTACTTCCATGTAGACTTCAGTTTCCCTTGTTAAAACCTGTAAATTTTATGTTTTTATTTAGTCAAGTGATAAGTTTTAGTATTCATGTTTGCCAAAAGTTTGGTTGTATTTCTTGTCAAGACTATGAATAATTACTTTTATACAATCGATATACATTTTTTAATGAATTTATAAGGCAGTCACACATGAAATACAGATGCAAGAATCGTTGTGAATAGTCTTCATGTAGATTTGAGATATTGTTTATTTTATATAGATTTTTACGTCATTACTTTTGGTTCAAAGAACAATAAATCATAGATTTAAATTTTTTTAAGTTCTCTTTGTAACTCACTTGGGTGAAGGGTCTTTCAACTGAATTAAAAGTTGTCACATTATGTTGTACCTATAAATTAATTCTAACTCTATGATCTTGATCTTATTATTTTGTGATACACCGTCCTTATTTTTTATGTGAATATTGAGTGATGATAAACTTGTTACATGCATATTAAAAACGGTGGTAAAGTGTTTTCATAAAATATCATACACTTTAAAATAAAATACCTTATGAAATACCTCGGTATTTATTTTATCGATGAACAATGGATGCCTGACATTCAGTTGAAAAGGAATCGTCCTAGTTTACTTCATTGTTTTTATAGAATCAGCTTGAGTTAGGCCCAGCGCACACGGTGTGACTGTTTTACAACAACTGTTGCAAACCAGTTGCATCTGGAACCAGTTTGCAACTGAAACAAAACTTCTGTCCGCACACGGTGTGACTGTTTTACAACTACAGTTGCGTCTATTGTGCAATCAGTGGAGTGCAAATTTAGTGCAGTTACGTTGTTTAAGGCCTTAAGTGCGCTTACTACATCGGACTCAGACGAAGAAGACGTTATTAGCTATTATCAATACCGAAGACAGCGAAGGGTACTGAGAGAGCATTGGGTTCACCCTTATTTGAGCAAGAATGTTAGTACTAGGCTGTTTGTAGCAGCTAGAGCTATTCGGATAGGAAATTATAAACACTAAAAACACTATACGGCCGTCAAAATTCCACCAAAATACCCCCAAACACCACAAAAACACCCCGTGGTCTCGTGCAACTGAAGTCTGCAACGCAACTGCAACGTCGGGCCCACGGTTGTATGTGACTGGTTTCAAACTTTTTTTGAAATCGCATACAACCAGTTGCGTCGTGTGCGCCTCCCCATTGCAATACATTACCAAAGTTGTAAAACAGTCACACTGTGTGCGCTGGGCCTTACATGTTTGGTCGTAATGAATTAATGTGGTTAAATTATAATTTAATGTGTTACTTAAAAATACTTACCACAGATAGAATTTTGATTTTGACTGACCTAGAAATAACAGTGCCGTTTTATGGTACTGCTTGGACAAAATGTGGTAGGCTTTATCCCACCAATTGGTAAAATATCTGATGTTATCTCAAAGGGTAAGTTGTAATTACTTAGTTATAAAGCCTTCACAACTTTTGATGTAAGTTATATGGGTTTCAATTATCGTGTCCTAAAAAAACAGTAAAGGCACTTGTATGTGTCATTTTTAGGAATAACACACTAATGAACTTGAGCCAAATAGTTAGCATTTATATAAACATTTCTCCATTGTCTCTTGTATTTGTTGGTGAAAATTACGTATATACAACCTTTTAGGTATTTTTGAACAAGTAGTTTGATAAACATGAATTAGCAATATACTGGTCTTAATTTAAATTTGCAATAAATACAAAGGAGTGAGTAGCTTAATTTTTGAGCCGAGCTTTAAGAGCTCAAGAGATCAAGCATTAAGTCAAGAAGTAATTCCGAGCCCAGCTGTTATTTTGTGATTGAAACCTCAATGAAGTTTGGGTGATTTCTTTCATCTCAGTTCCTCGTTTCATTAAATTCTTCTGTACTTAAAAATGATATGTAACCGTACATCATAATTGCAATTTGTAAAAGAATTGTGACAAATTATCTTTTATATGGCATTAAGACATTATACACAAACGCTCGGCTCGGAAACAGCTTAGCCTGATCATAAGTCTCAGGCTCACACATCCCTAACACAAACTAAAACCACTCTTATTGTTCTTCATTCACTTTCTTCAGTAAAGTCTGAATAACTAATACCAGAAACTATAGAAGAAATACATAACAATAGCAGTAATAGTTTAAAATACTTCACCACAAAATCATTGTAATGCACTTCATTATCGTACTAGGTAAAAATTTGTTTTGACAAGTTAATTAAGCATTTTAACAGTAAATGATAAAATTATTAATTTGACCATGTATTAGGCCTTTTATTGTAACTTGACGAATATTTTATTTCCATCCATATTATCTCCGATCAATTAGGATATCATATAAACTTTTGTGAGAAACAATAATATTGTAAGATTTTTGTTAGTAAAGATTTATTCTAAAGATGCTTAGGATAAATAATATGATATTTTTGTTGTTATTTATTGGAATAAATATTTTTTTATTTGTAACATCTCTTATCATTTTTACCTAAGATTCTTTCCATTTGGCCTAGAACAAATGGAATAGTGATATTACCTAATATCTTCATAAAACAGCCATAAGCATGGCAAATTTCAAAAATTTGTGTTCCATACATAATCATTTAAAATCATCCATGGTAGTTTTTCCTTGGAGGATAAGTCTCAAGATTGAAGAAAACAAGAAATACAAAAAATTAAAAGTTAATGACTTATTTTGAAAAGAATTGTGACTTATTTAATTGATTTATTCGTGGACTGTAGTGATTGAAAATAGCACCTTGCTGAATAATGTAGCACTTAAATGTCTCAATTTGAAACTGATGACATAAGACATATTTTATTTACACAATACGTTCTTTATAAAGTACATTTCATACATAAGAACAGGTGTTTCGTCATAGTGATGTATTTTATAGTAAAATTAATAGTTAAAATAATTTAAATAAACTCATGTAGGATATCAGAGAATTTTATCTACATTATAGGGTTCTCCAAAAATTCGTCAAGTGAATAGTAGGCTTTCTCAATTATTTTATCTTTTATTTTATCTTTGAATTGAGTAGCATTTAAATTTTTAAGATACAGGGGTAATTCATTGTACAATCTAAGTCCCATATATTGAGGGCTGTTCCTAAAAGTCGTCAATTTGTGATGTGGTAATCTGAAATTATATTTATTCCTTGTATTATAATTATGTGTAAAATTATGTGTATAATTATGTGTAAATTTGACTACATCTGACAAATTTTCCTTAGTGTTATGTATCCAATTTAGAATTTCATTTAAGTATAATCCAAAAATGGTGTGAATTCTAAGATTTTTAAACAGGTTTTTACATGATTTTCTCCTTCTTGATTTGGTTAAGATTCTAATAATTTTTTTCTGTAAAATTAGTAGGGATTTGACTTCTGTTGACACTCCCCACAGTATGATTCCATGCCTCAAGATGGATTCAACGTATCCATAGTAAACTGTGATACATGTATCCTGAGGTACACAGTTTATCAGGTGAAAGAAAGCAAAAGAAATAGATCTTAGTTTGCCTTTCATCTTATCTATGTGAATCTTCCAATTAATATGAGTATCAAGCAATACACCCAAAAATCTATGAGATTCTACTAAATTTGGAATTTTATCAAGAATTACATTGTTTTTTAAAGAAAATTTAATTATATGAGTTTTGTCAATATTCAGCTTTAAACCATTATCTGTAAACCAATTTTTCATACAATCCAAAGTGTTTTCTATTGATACAATTAAGTTATTTACTGAATCCTCTCTTATGATTGCTGTTGTATCATCAGCAAATAAGATTAAATCTCTGCCAATAGCTTTTGGAAGGTCATTAATAAAGATCAGGAAAAAAAGAGGGCCCAATATTGACCCTTGAGGTACACCACAATTAGATAAATTCCAGTTTGACATATGTTTCACACCGTTTTTGGTCACTATTGTTCTATACTTTCTGTTCTGTAAATAAGAGTCTAATAAAGAAAAACTTTTACCCTTTATACCGTAGTCTTTTAATTTAGAAAGCAAAATTGAATGATCCACACAATCAAAGGCTTTAGACAGGTCACAGAAAACACCAGCAGTAGTTTCAGACCTGTCCAAAGCCTTTGTAACATCATTGATAAATTCAATCAGTGCACTGTTGGTGCTGAATGTCTTTCTAAACCCAAACTGTTTTTCATAAAACAAATCATTGCTGTTAAAATAGTTTACTAGCCGGAAATTGATAACTTTTTCAAATATCTTTGAAAAATTACTTAAAACAGATATTGGGCGGTAGTTATTTATATCGGTTCTAGCCCCTTTTTTGTATATCGGAGTAATATGAGAGTATTTCAATTTTTCCGGGAAAATACCACATTCAAAACATTTATTAATTATATCTGAGAGGGGTTCAGCAATTTTATTTGCTACTGCTTTGATGAGTGAAATTGGAACTTCATCCCAACCCACCGATGTCTTATTTTTCAAAGAAAATATTATTTTTAAAATTTCATTTTTGTTGGTTGGTTCAAAGTTGTACAGTGAACACCCCTTTATATCCACAGATATTTTCATATTTGGATGGACACCCTTTACAATAGGATTTGGCAAGTTTAAGCTATTAACAACATTCAAAAAAAAAGAATTAAAAGTTTTGGCAACAACATTTTGGTCTTCAATTAATTCATTATTAGAGACTTTTAATGAAATATGATTGCCACAACTATCCTCTTTTCTAATGCCTAATTCGTTATTTACAACTTTCCACATAGCTTTTGGTTTATTTAATGCATTATTTATATATTTGCTGTTAGACATTTTTTTAGAACTGTTTACAACTTTACGAAATATCTTTTTATAAATAAGACTTTACATAGTTAAGAAAAATTGGGTCTGTACTGGTTTTGGCTTGCCAATGCAACTCACGCTTTCTTTTGCTAGAAACCTTGATACCTGTTGTTACCCAATCCAATATAACAGTTTTTATCTTAGATTTCTTTTTTACAGCCTTTAGTGGGAAATAATGATTCAACTGCCCTATAAAATAACTCAAAAAATGGTTGTAACTATCATTAACATTACAATTATCCAAACATAATTGACTTTTGTCAATTTCAAAAGTTTTTACATATTCGTTCATAGCATTTTCACTAAAAGTTCTTCTATAAATAACCTTTTTGTTGTTGTGATTTATCAGTTTGTTAGGTAGATTTATAAACAGTGCATTATGGTCAGATACACAAAGACCAATATTATATTTACAGATAACCTTGAGTTTTGTTTGAGTCGCAATGTTATCAATGCAAGTGCGAGAGTTACCTGATATTCTTGTTGGTTCATTGAAGTTAAGATTAAATCCATTACATTCAATAATATCATAGAATTTTGAAATTAAGTTGTTACTTTTGAGAATATCTATATTGAAATCAGAGGCCAGTATGATAGATTTAGTTTTGTTTTCATTTTTTAATTGACAGATAATATAAAACCAATTATTTCAAGAAAAATTTCTGTTACAATGTCACGACATAGACTAACCAATACCAGTAGACTTCTCATCCCATTGTAAATTTTGAAGCTCGTTTTTCGTGTCTTAATTCACACTGATTACCAGTGTCAAACAAATTTTGTTTCTATTATTTTAGGGTTAATTTTATGATGTGCTTTACTGTTAGGTTATACAGGGTGATTGATATAAGTGTGCCAGCTGTTTTATTCGAAAGTTGTAAGAGATATCAAAAAATGTTAAACAATTGTAACTTTATTTGAAAAACTTACAACTTGGTTAGGTAGAACCGCCATTTTTCCAATATGGCCGCCAACTTTGATTTTTCTTATGGAAGACCCGATATTTTATGCATTTTTTAGAAAGTAAATGCCATTTAAAAACGTTTTTATTCATGGCATCTATATAAATAAAATTAGAGTTTTGTCTGTACATTGCTTAGAATAATGAACTTTTTGGTTATTTTTACATTTCATAGGTCAGAGAAACCGAATCAAACCTTATCTCAATTTCTGTCTGTCTGTCTGTCTGTCTGTCTGTCTGTCTATCTGTCATTCTCTTGGTAACGCTAAAATACGCACTTTATTACAACTACTCCTCAATAACTATAGCACTGTCCCGCCTGAAACTTATTTTCCAAATACTATACATATATGAGATGGTTTTAGACGTATTTCATCGAATATGAGACAGTTAGATATTTAACAGTAAACCCTTGAAAATCAAGTTTTTGTCGATTTTTGACGTGGAATTTCTGGAAGCCCATGTTAACCTTATGAGAAATGAAATTATTGAATCTTAACAGCTGTTTCAATTAAACAAGTTGGTTCTGTTCTGTGATGTTCAATAGCATTAAAGTTACAAGGATTACCAACAGGGTGCAGCACTAGCACTATTATTTCTTTTACATTTATGACAACAGCTAATTTGCAACCTGGAGGCGAGTGAGCGTAGCGAACGAGCTAACCTGAAGGCAAGTGAGCGTAGCGAACGAGCTAACCTGAAGGCAAGTGAGCGTAGCGAACGAGCTAACCTGAAGGAAAGTGAGCGCAGCGAACGAGCTCCAACATACAGGTGAGTGAGCGTAGCGAACGAACTTCAACCAGGACGTGATTGAGCCATGCAAACGAGATCAGATAGTAAAAATAAAAGTAAGCCTACCGTTATAGGATCGACCGGCAGACACAGAGGTAATTTAACCTTTTATTGATTGTCATACCGATCCGGAACAACAAAAAACAACATAAAATGAAGCTATGTATAATAGTTTGGCCAGCATATCTTAAAATATGCAAACCAACTGCTGTTCTTTATATAAGAAGGTTTCAACTGAATATTATAAGATCCCCGTGCGTAGAACGGGTACACAGCTAGTTCTACCTCTAAAGCTGCTCACAGACTTGCAGTGTACATTCTGTGCGGTGTAGTCCTATAGCTCCAATTCCTAACAATCCTAACATACAATAATATTATTGAAATATCAATTCCTTAGTGTCTTTTAGATGACATTTTCAACTAATACATACTAATGAAAATTTAAAAAATGTCTGAGAAAATATGTTTTTGGTTAATCTCTAGGCCACATGCGCAACCAGAAAGACAACGACCAATATTTTTGCCCTGTTTTGGTCTTGCAATTTAGCAACTTTTCCGAGATATTACAACTAAAAAAAATTGTAGATTTTTTTTCAGCCCACCCTATTATATAACCAATGGATGGGTTATTATCGATATATCATATACAGGGTGGTAAAAAAGTCCCTGGACAGTTAAATATTTAAAAAAATAATGCAGATAGAGCTAAAATACTTGGTACAAAGTTACAGGGCATAAAATTCTATTTTAACACATATTCAGTGATCCAATAACTCTTCAGGGGGACGGCCCACAAGGAGTCGGAAGAAAATCTTAAATGAAAGCATAGGTCAATATGCACATCAAATTAAAGGTCTTTTTTAGTAGAATACAATGCCGCAAACCGCACTTCAAAAGGTTGATACAGCGCAAAATGGCAGATGTTCAAAGATTTCTTGAATCCGCCATTTTGAATCTTTGAACGACTGCCATTTTTTACTCAGGCATTCTTTTGAGCTTGAATTTACGGCATCGTAATCTACTAGTAAAGACCTTTAATTTGATGTGCATATCGACCTATGCTTACGTTAACAATTTTCTTCCGATTCCTAGGGCTCTGCCCCCTGAGTAAGGGTATAATAACAATGTAAATTAAATGAATCTTTGAACAACTGTCATTTTGCGCTGTATCAACCTTTTGAAGTGCGATTTGCGGCATTGTATTCTACATTTAATGCATTGTATGCTTTCATTTAAGAATTTCTTCCGACTCCTTGTGGGCCGTCCCCCTGACGAGTTATTGGATCACTGAATATTTGTTAAAATAGAGTTTAATGCCCTGTAACTTTGTACAAAGTATTGTAGCTCTATCTGCATTATTTTTTAAAATATTTAACTGTCCAGGGACTTTTTTACCACCCTGTATATATGATTATATCGTTTTAATGGCTAAACGGTGGTTTAAATGACTGAAATATTAAGAAACAAATTGTAAACTAAACACAACCTCTACATTGCACAGGTCAGACCTTATAATAAAATTGGCTTCATCTGTTCCATTAGGATGAGAAATCTACTAAGGAAGTGTGTTTATCTATGGTAATAGCTTATTCCCTATATGGGGATTCGCTAATAAAAGCCAAATAATTCAGGACACATTAGTTTCGTTTTAAATAATCACTTTATTTTAACTGTTTTTAGGAAAGAACCAGCAATAGTACTGCAATGCACAGCAAATGGTACAAAAAAATTCCTTTGCACTTTTTCCTCGCAATGTATTACTTTTCTTGACTTAAAACAATGATCTGCATAAGTATCATATGCATTAGGTCAATTTAAAACAACTGATTAAAGTTATCATTTTAAGTATTCATAGTACTTCTTAACTGTTTAATAAGCAGGAAAGGGTAGTAAGGACCATAGGCTGCAATTTGATTTATATTATAAATTTATTACATTTAACTTTACTTAATACAAAAACAAAATAAATAATTAAGTTGAGACAGGTTTCTTCCTGAGTATGACAAAGCCCTCCATGACGGGGGTGAGAGGTGTGAAGTCGTCTGTCGCCAGTTCCGCCCTCTCCCCCACGGCCAGCAGCACGGGGGTGGTGTGGGTGTGAACTCCTGCGATGGTCTTGGGTGTTCCTGCCTTGCCAATCACATCCACCGCCTGCCACACAATACACATCACATATGACAATCTATTGGGCATTAACTTGCAAAAAAACATGCAGTTATCTCTTCTGGAACAGTGGTAGTTGTTTAGTGTGTTTAAATGTTGTATGTGTTGTGTATGTGTTTAGTGTTAAATTTTGTTGAGTTGCAAAGCTCTGATGATGTTGCATTGCAAGGAAACGAAATGTTGATGCAATTTGGACTTCTGACTAGTAAGCCTAAGAAGAAGTCAACAAGTCCATAATATGTAGTCCAGGGGCTATCAGAATGAATATTATTATAAAAACAAAATGTAGTTGCTGATAATTAAGAAAATTAAAGGTTTGTCTGTCAGCTATCGAGCTATCTGTTAACTCTTTAAAATTTTTGTTTGGCTTTTCATGGAGGTAAATCTCTAATCTGGAGATATATATTTATTTCTTACCTGAAAGACCAATGACTTTTAAATTCTTCAATATTGACAATAATGGATGAATGTATTCCATTATCATTCATTTTAGTAAGTTTCTCGTCATGATGGGTTATAAATATTTGTATTCATAAATCGTAATTCATGTAGACTTTATGAATATTTATAAAAGACTTAAGTTAGAAAATACATAATTAAAAAAGGTATGCAACAACACTGACCTGTCCGACTCTGACAGGTACGGGTAGAGGTTCTCCCTCCTCGTCCAGAGTGACCAGCCACCGAGGATACATGGCTGTCGCCAGAGTGTACAGAAGGTAGTGAGACTTGCCCAGGATAACTGAAACAATCCAAACACTCTAAACTTCCTATCAAAATCTTCAAAATGTCAAATCCTGACAAAGAAACCTTTCCCACAAAAATTAAATAATGATTTTGTAAGGGGTTTTACAACAGGCTTGCCTTACTTAAAATAGAGGAAAATGCACAAGTAAACTTTGCATTTTTGGAGCTACTAGCTTAGAAAATTCTAGATTTATTCGTTCATTATTTTTGTCTGTAAGGTTGGCCTGCTGTTAAACCTATCCATTACAGAATCCTGGCATAAAATCTATAAATAATGAGTTTTATGTGTAAAGATTTAAACTAAAAAATTACACAGTATTAAGTACTCTAACAGATATCTACAGACGTTATCCAAGATTGGAGATTGTGATTAATCTTTGTCATCTAAAACTTCTTTAAGGTTGACATCTGAATTCTTGGAAAATCAAAAGAGAAAAACTGTATACGATCTTCTTATATCACTACACAATTTCTAATAATATATAAATAGTAGGCTAGAAACATTATGTGATTGTCTATACGTACTGTTCTTGGTGTCCAAAAACGCAGTGAGTGTGATAAGCAAGCCAGCAACAGCCACGGGGTTCATGATCTGCCTGTCAGTATGGAACGGTGACAGGGACAGTGTGCCCTTGCCCAGATGAGTCAGACCCTGAGCGATCCTCACCATGAACAGGTGGCCTGTGTTCTTAGCATGGTACTGCGCCAACTGTCTCAGCATTGTTGCTAGCCTACACAAACACCACCGATCCATCAAATGCATAAGTCTGCCAGCAAGATGGAGTACTAATGAGTATCAGCCGGTGCTGCTTCTTGCATTCATGTAAACTACCTTTTCTTCACACTCCTACCCAAATATTGAGCCAATTGCAATGTTTGATGAGTCAACAATATTATTATATTCTTCATTTTAGGAATGTTTGAAATTTCTAGTACACTGATGGACTTGAGCAACATTTTTAAAGACTAGTACTGTGATCTAGCATCATAAAAATTTGATCCTCTCCATAACTAACTGCAGTGCTCATTGTTTGCATACTGTTTCTACAGCTGTCTGTATAATAGGTGTACAGTCAATAATGTTACTCCATCTCCCAATAGCTACCACTTCTTACCAGATATTTAATTATAAGATAAGAACTTTGATGTGTATTTTCTAAAACGATGGTTGTTACTGTAAGTAATTTGTTTAACAGCTCCATAAATAGTAATAATAATAGGCTAAATACCTTATTTACGTCTTCAATCCTAGTAGTCTTTTTATGATTACTATAGTTTCCTACTACTAATATAGTTAACTATAGTGTTTACTATTGTTAATTTAACAAGACAAGAAGATTTGACAATGGAGCTGTTAGCTCCGAAACTATAGTAATCATATAAAGACTAAGGATTGAAGACGTAAATAAGGTATTTAGCCTATTATTATTACTATTACTCTTTATCAATCCAGGAGGCAAAACATGGATAAGCTCCATAAAGTAGCCAAGTAATTTGAGTGAAAATGGAATGGGTTTCCAAATATAAAAAATTGACTTTAGATTTGTTGTTGTGTAGATCATAAAATTAATTTTTCATCATAGAATTAAGGTTAGTCAATGCTTGTACCTTTGATATCGGTATTGAGAATCGATCGTCATCACTCAATGCCAATACCAATACCTGACAATTATTGCAATCGCTGGAAGGTAATGTCTACAAGGCCGTGGGAGATGATTGTAAACTATGATGATGTTTCCGTAGCCGCGAATGATGTTCAGGGTTTTTGCTGCGATCGCGAAATAGAATGGTAATATACACAAGACCACAGGAGATATTCAGGATTTTGCCACAATCACAGAAGACAATGGTGGTGGTGGTTTTTGTGATAGAAGAAGATAGTTAGAATTTCGCAGGATTTGTAAGATCTTTATTTAACTTTGATATGGTACACTTATTTATGTATTTAATTTATTGTATATGGACATAGATATGGAGACACAGATAGTCTTCTATATGGCGTTTATTTGAATTATTTTACCCAATATTTTTTTTTAATACATCACTATGACAAAACACATGTTCTTATTTTTGAATTGTAATTTATAAAAAACATTTTGTGTTAGTAAAATTTAAAAAAATTGTAAATTTTGAAGCACGTTTTTCGTGTCTAGTTCATGTACGGTGACACTGGGCGCTAGTGTCGACAAAATTTTGTTTATATTATTTTAGGGTTAATTCCTTGATTTGTGCTTCACTGTTTGGTTATTTACTGTTTGGTTGTTTGGTTAACTAGGAGACAAGTTATTGTTTATGATTAGATCGTATTATCTGGTTAAACAAGGTTTTAAATGACTGTAATAACTGGAAACAAATTGTAAACAAAACACGACCTCTAGATAAACCGTACAGAACTAACAATACAATTGTCTTCAGCTGTTGCATAAGGATGAGAAATCTACTTGGGGGAGTATGTTTTATCTATGTTAATGTTAATACTTAGTAATACCACTCAAAAACATAATAATTAACACCTGAAACCTTCTTTACAATAGAATGTCAAGGCATTATGATTGCATAGAATTGAAGAACCAAACAAAAGCCTACCAAAAATCACACACATTTTGTTCATCCAAAATTTTGCTTTGATACATTATAAATTATAATAAAGAAGAGGTATACATTTAACTTCTCTAGAAATATGCATAAAAGAACCCTCTATGAGCATACCTGGCGTTGTTAGTGCCAGCGCCTACAAGACCCATGGCGAAGATGGCATTGTGAGCGACTTCCTCGTCAGCGTCATGAGAGTACTTGTTGAGCACATCGATGATACTAAGCTGAGGGTTGGAGATGTAGGTTAGAGCAATACCTAGAGGAACTGCCCGTCTAACTGCTGGCTCACCATATCTGCCCTGGAAGTGAAACACTGTAGTCAAATAACAAATCCTAATTCTATAACAAGAGACAAATTTATCAGATAGTACAAGTGATAAAACTTTCACTTTCAACAATATACAAGCACAACTAAATAAAACAGTTAAGCGAAAAAGAAAACGAAAAAAAAACAGCTGAAACTCTAACTTACATGAAAAATCCAAACTAATAGTCTAGACCTATACTCTGTTCACACAAATTTAGGCAGTTTGAGGGGAAGTGATTCCATCCCCTCCACTTCACCCTAACTTTTAAACAACAGCCGACAGCTGATACATACATTAGGCTAAAAAAGAGGTGGGGAAACCCAGGAAATCTTCCCTTAAACTGCCTAAATTATGTGAAACACACTATAGGACAGATCACTCATTGTCAGAGCGGTTGAACTTTAGGTTGATCAATGACTTATTGGTTAATCATCTTAACTTACCAAGGCTTCTTGACTAAAAGTTACTAACCAGTTGTGCAAATATCCGAGTGGACATTTCTGAACCAATCTCTTCGCCCATTGCTATGACTGCCACTGACAAAGCCGCCACTGCTTGCATTGATGTCAAGTCTTTCGCTTTCTCCTTTTCCTTGTCTTTCTTATCTTCCTTCTTATCTTTGTCATCCTTCTTGCTATCCTCTTTCTGCAAATGAGAACATTGATTCAATAATGATTTTAGAGGATTAAATTGGAACACTTACTAAAATGGTGATAAAAGAATTTTATTTGTTAACATTCACTATCCCTTAACCATAACCTGCAATCAGTATGTGGCTTGCCTTCGTTTATCTATACTCAAGATTACCATTTCTATTTGGTAGTTTATAATACTTCTAAACCATTAATTAGTTATTCAAAGAAAGAAAACCTAGGATAAGAAATATAATAAGGAAGAAGGAATAGATATACAAATCGAATAACTTACATACCTAAGAAAGGACACACAGAAATTTCACAAAATGGTTGCTGTCATGGTGTTGACCCTTTAACCGTGACAGCAACCATTTTGTGAACTCTCTTTGTCAACATATAATAAAGAAGAAGGAATAGATATACAAATCGAATAACTTATATACCTATGAAAGGACAAAAAGTAAGTTCACAAAATGGTTGCAGTCATGGTGTTGATCCTTTAGCACTCAATCCTTAAGTTTTAGTGTTGTGGGTGCAGCAACCATTTTGTGAACTCTCTTTGTCAACATATAATAAAGAAGAAGGAATTTTTTGAATTTTTGATATACAAATCAAATAACTTACATACCTAAGAAAGGACAAAAAGTAAGTTCACAAAATGGTTGCGTTCATGGTGTTGACCTTTAGTTTTAGTGTTGTGGGTGACAGCAACCATTTTGTGAACTCCCTTTATCAACACTTAATCCTTTCTTTTTTTTAAACAAATCAAAATCCCGGGTCACAGCCTTTCCTTGAATCAAACTACCAAAAGAGTTCCAAGTACTAGTTAATAGCACACACAACGTTCATGACAATTAAATTAATGTGATATTTCGTCCCTCTTTTGGGGCTGATTTAAAAGGAAATAGTAGCCTACATGACCTTCTTTGAAACTCTCTCTTCATTTAAGCTTTTTGCAGCCTATATTCTTTAGTTCATTAAATGTTACATACCACTGGAGTGTAGTGTTCACTGCAGATCTGCAGTTGTTGCTGCACGATCAGCACGTTGCCAGTGCCAGCATACGCACACATCTTCAGCATCTGCTGGGCCATGGAACGGAACGGATCCGGCAACACCTCTAAGGCAGCCTTGGTCGCTTCTGTGGCTTCCTTCTGGCCTAATCACATGTAGGCAAGCACGTCATCAGCTTTGTGGCATTGCAAGCGTATTAAAGTTGAATTTAGGTTATTCTGAACCAGATAGTTATCTTATAATCTTGGAAAAAAAATATATATAAGCCTTGGTGTAAGCACAAAGAAATTTTAAACATTGAAAGTCTAATATTTTGGGTGAAAAAAGAGCTAGAATTTTGTCACAATATTAAGGCATTATGTGTTTCTTTTTTTCTAAGTGCCAACATTAAGGTGTGCTTATTTTGCCTAAGGTAAGCCTAAGCCGGCTTTTACCCCCATGATGTAAAAATGTATTTTTCCTATAAAAATCAGTGTTTACTGAAGCTTTTCACTAAGATACCTCTTTTTTCTTTTAGATAATCTTAATACCTGTCTGCCACTTTTTTTCAAACCCTCTTATTAACGCTAACTACAGTGTTGAATTGCTGAAAAATATTAATCTTTTCCCCAAGGTGGTTCAAGTGCAAAATCCAGCTATTTCACAGCTTGTTTTAAAGTTACTTTTTAATGTGCTAATGTCATTTAATTTGATTTCAATTTCTTAAGATATAGGGCAACCTGAAATGCTGTTTTTATGATACAGTGTAAGAAAAACCTAAATACGGTAAAATTGAATTCCATTCCTTATGCCTAATGACCTGGAATCTGAGATAGCAATTATTTCATCCACTTATTTATTTTTATGTTGATGCTAATGTCCAGTCTAGTAGTGCATTTGCCTTATTTTGATTTTAAGTTGAGTGAAAATAACCTTTCAGTAATAAATATATACTGTAGCTTAAATTTGAATTTAAAATGTAGGCCTAATAATAAACTTTGTATGTGTAATTAATTTCTACTTTTTTACACTTCTCATTGACATACACTAGTTCCCAGCTAAGATATAGTGCCTGATTAGTGAGAGTTGACGTACCGAGGTAGCAGAGACCAATAGCCAGAGGCAAGAACCTGGAGTACTGGCCTTCCTGCAGCTCAGACACTGGTAGGTCCAGCAGAGTCTGTAGAACTGTTGACAACACCTCAGGATCTGCGGCTCCTACAGTAATGAGGCCACAGCTCAGTGCTGCCAACGCGACTACCTCGGGTGATGACTTCTTGTCTGACAACACAGGCAGCAGGAGAGACACCACATCCTGGCGGCGAGTACCAGCGTACGCCAGACCCAGACCTGCACAATACACCAACACCATATAGCAACATTTGTGTAAGTATATCAATTTTCATTTTTCTAAGTATATAAATTTTCATTTTTCTAACACTTTTATAAATTTTTTTAACAATTTAGTTAATATTTAGTAATTGGATTTGGTATTTGGACAGGTAGATCATTAAGTTTTTTTTACTTTATCAATGTCAGTACCCGTAGCCTTCTGGCTCCAGACAAAAGTCAATTTTAGATTTTAGTACTAGTCCTGTTGGGACCTAAGAAAATAGAGCTTGCCTAGTGGCAAAGCGCATGAATTCAATCTCTGAGGTCCTGAGTTCAATTCCTGCCAATCAGCAATTGGTTTTATCTATGTTAATGCCTCCTCTCACCTACCCTTATGTAATTTGTAAAATGGTTTGGGCTAGTGTCTACGCCCTATAATGTAAAGGTGGAACTATAAAAAACCTATGTAAACAGTATTTATTCTTAAAAGTAACTGGCTACCTTTGAAATTTTTATTTCACATTTATGTTTTCCAATTTATGTTGTACAACATTTATGTTGTAGGTTCCAAAAATGTCATGACTATTGGACTAAAGTCATCATAGAAAAGTCCTCCTATAATAAATGTTTAAATCCTTAAAATGCTATTTGAAATGCACCCATAAATCAGTGAAATGCACTGGCTAATTGCATGTAACCAACAATATTTATGTTGTACAAATATTGTTGGTTACATGCAATTAGCCAGTCAATCTTGTGATTTATGGGTGCATTTCAAATAGCATTTTAAGGATTTAATTATTTAAACATTATTGGAGGGACATTTTCTGTGATGACTTTAGTCCAATAGTCATTACATTTATGGAACCTTTAAGCGTGTGTTCTTGGTACCGTTCCCTCACTACTATTTACCCAACACAGCTCCAGTCCGCAGAGTAACACTGTCATGCAATACATAGTCAGAGAGTAGAGCCAAAGCAGGATCACACTCGTTCCTTACACCACAGTTGACTATCCCCAGTGCCAGCAGAGCTCCTGCCTGTAACCATCACCCGCACATGTAAATAACCACCTCAGTATCAACATAAGCACATTTAGTATATTACAGTCAACAGAAAATCTCATTAATTGACACACTAATTTATCTTTATCTAGACACTGGAGTAAGACTAAGAAGTAAGTCTTCAAAAATATTATTTATGTTTAGAGGAACAGTGAACATGACAAACCTTAATGTTCTCCTCGGATGTATAAAGGTATTTGTCAATGGGAGTGAGTCCTCCATCCACATCCCACAAGTGGATCAATCCAAGTGAAGCTGCGGCACTCAGCATACCTGAAATTCAAACAACCATGTGATGTTATAGTTATGTTTTTGTAGAGATAATAATAGTAAGCCTAGGGATGGATGGGTCCCGAGATTTCGGGGAAAACATATTCCCGATCATTGGGACAGAATTAAATTAGATTTGGGATTTGATCCGATTGTTGAAAATTTCACGATGCTATTTTCTCATGTTCCATAAATCACGGCTATACAAATCTTCGGGAAGAATACAAAAGCCATTTAGCATTTTCATCAAGAAAAAGTTAATATTTTTTAGTGAAAATTTTCTAAATCTACCCGTTTTTTTCCCCACCCAATGTCGAGCTTACCTGAGGGCTACTTTTTACCCATCCCAAAGTAAAAAGTCTGGCTTGCACACCCTTAATTACAGCTCTCAAGCTTTACATTAGTCAGATGTTATATAGACTCACCGTGTTGCTTGTTCTTGTACATCCACTTGTTGCCGTCCTCTACTGATACAAGTTTGTCCCGGGAGAAGCCTGCGTTGACAAAGGCATTGACAAACGTAGACGCCAGGTTGTGGCGAGCAGAGTCTACAGGCACGTCCAGGTTGTAGGTTGGCCTCAACACCAGCCCCTCCAGCCAGGTCTTGTATACCTCCTCTGGTGTCTTGGGCTCCATGATATCCAACTACACAACAGTAACAAAACTGTAGAGCAATTCCCATATTGTAGTAGTGAATGTAACCACTCAACTTTTTAAAAATAGCATGAGCACTGCTAATATAGTTTTTTGGTCTGTATAGTAATCGGTATGCCTATTGTAAAATTTGATCTAGCAGATTTATACACTTTTTGAATGTCAATTGCATGTAAGTTAAAATTTAAAAGTAAATTGTAATGTGACATACAATTAGAAACGTAGAAATAATTGTCCTACTGGTGATAACATAACACAAAAAAAACCTGTTTAATATTTTTAATTGGAATCTTGTAGAGCAAAATAGTGAAAGAATAATTTCAAATTTCATTTCCAAAGTAAAGCACTTGGGGAAAGGTGCGGGATTTTAACAAAGTGTTAGACATCTTATCTGGGAGAAAGATAAAACAAAGACTGCAAAATTTACCATTTATAAAAATTATTGTATAGGTACCGATAGTTACATATGGTACAGAAGTTTGTAATATAACAGAGAGAGAATGGAGTAGGGTTCAAGTGGGGGAAATGAAACTTGTAAGAGGTATTAAAAAAAGGGCAAATAAGATGCAAATGAAGAAAGTTTGAGGAACGAGCAGAGAAATCGCGATTAAGATGGTTTGGCCCCTTAATAGAATGGAAAACAATAGAATGTCCAGAAAAATGAGTGAGCTTCATATGAAGGGAAGAAGATTAAGAGGAAGGCCTAGAAGGTGGATTGACGAGGTGGGACAAGATATGGAAACAAGAGGAGTGCAATGGCAGTATGTAGAGGAAGAGGAATTGTGGAGGGACAGAAGAAGATGCTCTCCATTAAACACCCAGACCGGAGATAACCGGAACCGGAGAGGATATGTATGTATGTAAGTAAATCTTTGAACAGATTTTAAGACAGTGTTCTAACTAGGGATGGACGAGATTGAATTTTTAGTTCGAGACGAGACGAGACGAGATTTTTTATTTCTCATAAAATTTCGAGACGAGATCGAGACGGGATTTCCCTTCTCATACACAACGGGAAATGCACGTTCAAAATTTTTACCTGATTTTGTAACATTGTTAGATGACTGTTTAAATACAAAAATAATGATAATAGGCAAGAATATTTACAATCTTTTATTAAAAAACATCAGCATAACATTTTTTTTATTAATCACGCCTAACTTATTAAAAATGCCTACGATTAGGAAACATAGTGATATCAGTTAGGATAGAGTTCAACTTATCCTAAAATAAAATAAATCATAAAATAAAAGCAATATTAATTTTTATAAAATAGTTACTTGTTTTGACTTTTTATAGTAATAAAACATTCCTCACACTGCTTACACTTAACAAAACTTCTCAAATGTTATTAAAGTAATATTATTAAAATAATTAAAGTAATATTTACATTTATAGAATTAATTAAATAAGAACGCCTTCGCAAAGGAAACGCAACTACAACACGCTCCGGTATTGCGGGTATTGCATTGACTTTCTGCAGGTGTTTTAATTTTTTTTTTTTTTTTTTATTCTCGTCTCGATAAAAATCTCGGCCAAAAAGAAATCTCGTCTTGTGTAACGAGATTTAAAATTTCCCGAAATTTCGAGACTTGACCATCCCTAGTTCTAACCTCTCTGGCCAGTCCGTGGAAGTGATCGTTGACATGAGAGTTGGACATGATGGTTGTCAGGTCACTCTTGTCTACCAGGTCATCACTCAGCTCCAAACACAACTGTTGACGTCCAACCATGTAAGCCAGCTGCTTCCTCACAGACCTAGGAAAACATTAGCTACAGTTTGGGTTGATATTCAAATGTTAGCAACAAATAAAATAATTTAAAGTAATAACAATTATCAGTAATAATAGTTTCTAAAAGAAGATTGGAGGCCAGAGAGAAAGTAAAAACAAACTTACGGGTCAGCACACTCTTTGAAGATCCGTTGCATAGCTTCTGTGTCGTTCAGCTCCATTGCAATACAAAGGGCACGAGGATATTCCTTGAAGCGAAGGTAGTGTTCAATAACAGACCGGAGAATACCCTCTCGCTCAACGTCTTCTACATACCCAGCAGAACTAAAGCATGAAAGGTCATTCAGCATAACTAATCAATTCAATCTGTTTATTATGTTTATTGTGGAAGCTTATCTTGTAACACACTATTGTGCTATGGTTTAGCCTATTACAATCATTATTTGTATTACAACACTTGCAGGACAGAGGGGCGTAAGTACCGTACATATTAATAAGCTACATATATACTTACGCTCATTTGTTTTCTAAGCAACTAACCTATTTTATTAGTAATTACTTAAAAATTATTAAATTTATTTAATTCCTAATACGAAGTTTTTATGTTTGAAATACTATATGATTAACTTAACTCACAACTTAAAAATGAGTGTGACAAGATTTAACTGACAATTTGATTTATCAAACAACGGATAGGTTGGGTCATACATCACTTGACACAAAAACGTAAATGAACTTCGAACATAATTTTTATGTTGACTGTCAATCTTGAAAGTATATTTAATAAGCTTCCACTTTGTTGTATGTGATAACAAAGTAGCATGTAGATGGGTGCAATGCAAATATACCTTGAAATGTACAGACACACTCGTAGATAGTTAGAATTGTCCATGTGTCTATCGATGATGTCCAGACGATCTATTTCCATCAGAAGATCGCAAGCTTGTATCTCCGCATTGTGTTTCATGTCAAACTTAACTATGCTCTCAATGAGAGGCAACAGTTTGGCCTTGGCCTCTTCCACATCAGCTGCTTGGCCACACTCCTCCGCAATCTCTCCCTCCAGTTGCCTGCAACATTTAATAATTCAGCAATCTTGTCCCTAGCTCTAGTCGAGCGAGTTCTTAAATACTTGCTGAAAAATGCTCAACCACTTGAGTACTGGCACACCCCTACTGCATATACTATCTTCCAGACCTACATGGAACAGGACACTTTTTCTTTCTTTACATTATTTTTGTGGGTTTAAAAATATATATTTTATGTTTTTTTTTCTTGGTTATTGATATCACAATAATTTCAGTTTAGGCTATACATAGGTATCGTTTTAAGGCCCTAGTAAAGTATAATTTGTTGTTAATCCCAAAGATGCAAACGTGAAGTATAAATAGGCTATTTAAACTAGCGGACTTGTTTTGTTTCTCAAAGTAAGATAATTGTGATCAAATGTCTGCAATAACCTCTCAAATGTATAAAATACAATAAGTGTTTGCAATGTTACATCCCTTTTTCAGCTGTCCTACTTTTTTTTAAAGGAAGTCAGCCTACCCTTTTCCTTTAGGGCTTCCCTTCCCTAGCCTTTGATTTTTTTTTAGTTTGCTTGCTAAGATTCAGTAATAGGCCTATGCAGAAACCTAGTAACAATATAGAAACCTGGGGTCCCGGGTTCAAATCCCGCCAAATCACCAATGGATTTTATCTAAGTGATATGCCGTAACCCCTAGGTCTAGCCTGAAGTAAATGTGAAAAACAATAACGGGTTCGTGTCTAGCGTCCCAGGACAAAAAAAAATTATACAAAAAATATACAAAATAGCGGTCAAGAGTGAATTAAGTTGAACAGCTGATCTTTTAGTTGAATGTTTAACTACAGTCAGATTGTTAAAAGGAGACAAAGCAAAATTATTGGAAATTGATTTAAATAGGCGAGATTAAGTAAAAAATATTTATTAGCATACAATTTTCTATACACTTTATGATATTATTTAGGAAATAAATTATCAATCAACATTGTACGTGTTAATAAATTGTACTGAAATTAGGTACATGAAAATAGTCTAATCACCTTTGAAACGTATATTTATACTAATACTGTTGACTCACAATACAGTATATTCAAATATAAGGTGGTACTAGCTGATCAAAGTAGGTACCGGTATATTACTCTCTATGGTATAGGCCTTGATCTAAAATCTAGGTTTTATTTACCTAATAATTTTCTTAAACATAATCTTGGAAAAGTAAAAAGGGTAGGCCTATTACATTTTTCGGTTTGCCTCAGGAAAAAGTTTTAAATTCTGTTAAAACATGCAACTTGCGCAGGGGTACCCAGGTATGTATTTTATATTATAAGTTAGGTAGGTACATAAACAGCTCCAAACTATTATAATAAAACAGGCTCTAATACATAGGCTACAATATTTTAACACCATCAAAAAATTTTTCAAGAGAAACTTAACTTAATCCCTGTTTAAGCCTACACTTGATTATGCCTAATCCAAGTTAAATTAGCCTAATTAGCCTAACTCTAAAAATTGTAGCTCTACAGTTGGTTGAGCTCACCTGACATATTCATGTCCCCAGTCTCCTACGTCATGTTTAGAGCTCAACAAGCAGTACTTGAGACACTCCCGAGCTCCAGGCATATCCTGACTCATGGCCAACACTGATACAATGCTTGCACACAACTCCTTGGCTTCCTTCTGAGTCATGCGTTCATAGGCTTCCTTTAGGGCTCCGTAGTGGGAACGTAGGAACTTGAGAGGCATTGGTACACTTGTCATTGATGTTGTCGAGCTTCTGATGACATCTCGCATGCTTTCCAAAGCAGGTTTGTACAGGTTCTGCTCCGGCCCCTGCAAAATCATTTTTTTGCATGATTTAAGAAAAATTACATAAATGAGATCTTAAATGTCTATTGCTTCATCTTTATTTCTTGTGTTAAACTTGATGATCAAAGACAAAAGAATCAGTCAAAAGAAGATATCTAATAAGGTAAGTCAAAGTAAGCCAAAGAAATTGTATGGAACTTTGATCAGTTGATGGTGTACCTAGGCACAACCTATTCTTTGTCTCTAAAAATGGTGACTGACCATTGGAAATAAATAAACAAATAACTTAGGCCTAAGTCTAGGCTATCATCTTGAGACATTACTGAAAACAAGAGAAAAAAACAAGACTTTGTATGCAAGAACTAAACAGAAATTTATTTGATAGCCAAGTAATTTTGAGTAAAAAACTTTTATGTATTTGACTACACCAATTCAATTAGCCTAGTTACAGTAATCCTTGTTATTTCATAAAAATCTCTAGTAAACGATTAGGTACCTATAGCCTAATTGGTTAAGAATAAGAATAAGGATGCTCTATTGCCGTTACGCTGGTTTACATGCATGGCACAGTCAAGGAAATGTCTTGGAACTAAGGTTTTAACTTAGGTTTAATTTAACCACATTTATGAAGTCTATTTCTCTGTATGGACACAGGTTTAACAGGTAGTTTTTAAAATGATAATACACAATAACATGTTTTATTTATAATTAACTTATTTTGTTCACTCTTTCTATAAAGAGTAGAGTTAGAGTATATTAATTGAATTTATTTTAGCTTAAGTTATAACTTAACAATTTTCAATGCATATGTATCAAATAAATATGAATTAAGTAGGTACTTAAGTTATTTGTCCTGGTGTAAAAAGCCATGGGTGTAGCTTACTTACGGTGATTTTCTCCACTAACATGTTAAGCTCTTCTTGTAGGCGCTTATCATCTTCTGACTGAAACGGAAATAATAACTTAATAATAGTGCTTAATAATATGTTAATATGCATAACATAGGTCCTATCAGTATCTCTTAAAGTAATAAGAGGCTAGTAAGTTACCTACCGTATTCAAAATAAGTTAGGACTACAGTAATTATTTTACATTCTAATTAGAGGACTTACATTTTAAGTTACGTTTAGGCTATAACCAATCAGTTACCATATTTAGGTAAGTCACCTTAAGTATATGGTTTATATCACAACTTCCTCGTATACTGTAACTTAACTGAACATATGTCCTGAATTAACTTACTAAATATTAGAGTACCGTAGGCCTACCTATGATTAAGACGTTGAGTGCGGCCTACATTGTTTAACCTAGTGTGGGACTGGTATGTGCGGCGTACTACGTTAAAATAGGTAACATTTCTAACTAAGTATTGCCTCCAGTGTGAGCTCAGCCTTGCAAAGGGAACATTGTTTCGCTTACCACTTGTTGTGTCTACAAAGCTGTACAATAGCCTTCCTCTGGGGTTGAAGACCGAGCAGGATCACCAGACTTTCAAAAGAGCAGTGAAGAGACTGCTTTTGAATGAGGTTTACTACAGCCTCCGGGATTTTTTGGCTGGTAGTCATAACTGCTTGTAAATAGTTTTACAAATATGTAGGTACTAGGCATACAGAAGTTATAGAAGTTTTGTATTTTAGTTTATTTTGACATGGCCAACGCTGATTGCATTTGGTTAATTTGGCTAAATAAATTACTTATGTGTCAGTGTTAACCCTCCAAGTGTCCATAGTTTAGGCCTTAATGTCCACCTATTTTTGGCGCATTTGCAAGGTTTTATTAAAACAGATCTGAGAAGCTTAAAACAATGTTAATTCTAATGTTCTATATACCATTTTGTTTGGAAAATCATGGGCTTCAATATCATACATAAAACATAAGGAATATTTGTTTCAAAAAATTTATTAAGGTAAAAAAAAAATTATTTTGGAAAAATTGAAAAAAAAAAATAAGTTTGCGCTCAATGAAATTGTATAAATTATAGGCCTATAAATAGGCTATTTGAAAATAGCCACTTTGTTCTAAATATTATGAGGATTACAAATATATAATAATATAAGGAAGTAGATTTGCAAATAAATAAGTTATGGGCAAAAAACTGATTTCAGTACATAGCGTTTAGCTAAGAATGCATAGCCTAACCATAGCTAGGAATCTGGCTGATAATTTACATCAATATCACTACCTACTTCTTCAGGATCATCAACCAGCACTTCAAAACCACTTAAATCTTCTTATAATGCACCACGTATATCACTACTTTTGATTTTTAACACTAAAACAATGATAAACGTAATAAAACACATCAGTCATCGGTCCGAGGGTAACCTAGCTGTTTACAAATACACGCACGTCAGCGACGTCAGCTGTCTGCTACAATATTTTCGGAACTAAAATGAATAGCGCTTAGAGACAGACCTCTGGAGAAAGCTTAGAATATTACGGAAAGAACGATACCTAACTCGATCCAGTTCAATCCGATTCAGTCAGTCATAGAGCCTTCGCCGTAAACGATGTCTGCGTGTCGAAAAATCGACAAGTAACACTACACAAAGTGTGCTGCTTGTCGAATTTTCGTCAAGTAACACTGGGAGGGTTAACTTCAATCCAGTAGCCTATAATTTGTTTTCAGATCCGACAATTTCATTGGTGGTGGGGACTGTTCCAAATTAAGTGTGGGGTTTTGTCTTGGATTTAGTGAAATTGAATATTGCCTAATAACGACAATTAGGCCTACTGAAGGCCTAGTGTAGCATTATGGAAGAAACCTAGCCTCAAAATTGTGTTTGACACCTTTGTTGCAGTATTTTTTGATGGCCATTTGCACAACCGCACTAAACGTGTTAAGAAAGTGAAATGAAAATAAATTTATGGCCTAATTTGTATTATTTATCAATGAACACTGTATACAAATAAATTCACTATTAGAATTAAGGGTACTTTCCTATTAAAGGGAACATTCATTAACATTCTTTTAACATGAAACCAAATAACCACAATCATGACTTGCAATTTTTGTGCCCAAGAAGTATTCATTTATAAATATTACCACTATAAGTATCAGCTATTAAAAGTATCAGGAGATAAAGTTACTCAAAATAGAAATTAAACTAAAAGTGTACTTCGAAGACAAATTAAGGAACATTTATGAAGTGAGTTTAAAAATAATATAGCCTAACCTACCAAGAAGGCATTTGGCTAACCTCAACAGTGACAAATAAATTATATAGACTACTAAAACTATAATTACCAATTCTTCTTGTTGGGTCTCAACGGGCTTCTTCTCTTTTTCAGAAGACATTTTAATTGTAGTAATACTTATTATTAAATTTTAATAAAATAAAAGACGCTTCGTTGTGGAGAGAATTTGACAAACACCTTAGCATTTAGCATAAGCAATAGAATAGATTTTTGTTCTTGTTTTCTTCTTCAACTTCAACTTGACTTCTTTTTATTTCACTCTACAATCTACATGGAAATCAAGCACTCTTGTAAAAGAATGAAGCTGTCGATTTTGGAAATGGGATTATGTGCTCGCTGCTCACAGCACAACTCCTAATCCGACTTTAAAGAATGTTTTTCTTTGTTACCATAAAGCATAGAAACATAGACGACTCTAGAGGAAGTGTATCATAAAAAATATTACAGTAAAAATTATTTAGGCAAAAACTTGAATAATTAAAGCTAGGCCTGATTAAAAATATTAAAGCGCAAATAAAAGTGCATTGCATTATTATTAACACTTGGTACCATAAAATTGTAAAAATTGTCAAAAATCAAATATTATTGGTATAATTGGTTTATATCTCAGTGCTTTGTATAGTATTTGAACTGTGATCGTGCCAATAATTTCTTAATATTTATCTCCCACTGGGTCGTACGATTGACTGTTTTGTCTGCTCGCTAGCGTTTATCATCGTCAGTTAGTTGTCTTAAGTGTAGTGTGTTGTCATTGTCACTGTTCAAATCATAGGCTATGTTCACTTAGTTCTTTGTTTTCACATAAATAAATCAAGTTTCAAGTTGGTGAAAGAAATTGAATTGCCAAGTACAGAATAGGTCTAATAATCTAGGTTTGAGGTTAGTTCGTCAGTCTATGATTCAACTTTTATACTTAAGTCGCAAGCAGGTACTATCCTTCCTTGTATTTAAATTTCCTACTTGGTAATTTTACTTTACTCAATGTTGATTTCATAAACTACATTTGAGGTAAACTACATTTTAAATGTCACACTAGATTGTAAGTTTAGTATTGGCCTAAAATTAGGCATCATATTATATGTTTACTAATAAGTAAGGTGTGTACCACTAATGCGGTAACTTAAGTTACAGGTAAATTAAGTTATACAGTAGTATAATTAATTTATATCATAAACTTACTTATCCTTTAGAAGTCTAGGCTAGATGATACTCCTATTGCACTCAATTATTATTTTAACTTGTAGCCTTATCTTAAAGGAACATGTTTATCACATAGCTTATTTGATTCTAGTCTAAGTTAAGCCATGAAATGCGATGAAATGTCTTCTTGTATCATAGTTGCAACAAAGGATCTGTAGCTTATCATCAACAGATTCTGGAATAAACATTGCACTTACTCTCAAGAAGATTTATCGAATCGTGTTTTAATTGACGTGGGACTTGTTAATGAGGTAGCCTATTCAGTTATTACTAGTAGTACGCTTATTCTGCACGTAACAGGATGAGTGAACATGAGCGCAATAATGAAAGAGTTTACCCACACCTAGCACACTTACCGGTGTCACTGGTGTACACAATAATGTTATTTGTATAGACAAATCGACCCATGAGTCGGGGCAAATAATGGTGAGTCGGTGACTCAAGTCGGTAGCGTCACGCGAACTTCGGGCCCAAGGCAGCGATGTCGTGAGTTCGGATCCTGGTCACTGCCACTAAATTTTATCAGTACAGTTCACCTTTGTACAGTACCGGCTCACCAATTGCTTTGCTGTAAACGATCCACGCACGGGCGAGGTTCATCGAGGTAAAGAGGCTGGACCAACCTCTTAAAAAAACCAAATCTCAGTCAACAACAATCCTAACTTCTCGTCCATTAATTAACCAAAGTCATTGGTAATATACGTAACATATTTCCTGTTTCCCTCTCTTCTCATAGCATTTTATTATTGCAGATACGTTAATCTAACTGTCACAAAGAGTTCCCACACTCTGGACTGTTCACCTTGACTACTTCCTTTACCACTTCCTACGTCGTGGACCTGTTTCCCTCTCTTCTCATAGCATTTTATTATTGCAGATACATTAATCTAACTGTCACAAAGGGTTCCCACACTCCGGACTTCTCGCCTCGACTACTCCCTTCACCACTTCCTACGTCGTAGACCTGTTTCCCTCCCTTCCTATAGCATTTTAGAATTTCAAATAGATTAATTTAACTTTCACAAAGGGTTCCCACACTCCGGACTGTTCACCTTGACTACATCCTTCACCACTTCCTACGTCGTGGACCTATTTCCCTCCCTTCCTACAGCATTTTAGAATTTCAAATAGATTAATTTAACTTTCACAAAGGGTTCCCACACTCCGGACTGCTCGCCTCGACTACTTCCATTACCACTTCCTACGTTGTGGACCTGTTTCCCTCCCTTCCAATAGCATTTTAGTATTGCAGGTATATTAATCTAACTGTCAAAAGGGTTTCTACACTCCGGACTGCTCGCCTCGACTACTTCCATTACCACTTCCTACATCGTGGACCTGTTTCCCTCCCTTCCTATAGCATTTTAGTATTGCAGGTATATTAATCTAACTGTCACAAAGGGTTTCTACACTCCGGACTGCTCGCCTTGACTACTTCCATCACCGCTTCCTACGTCGTGGACCTGTTTCCTTCCCTTCCTATAGCATTTTATTATTGCAGGTATATTAATCTAACTGTCACAAAGGGTTTCTACACTCCGGACTGCTCACCTTGACTACTTCCTTTACCGCTTCCTACGTCGTGGACCTGTTTCCCTCCCTTCCTATAGCATTTCATCATGGCAGATACATTAATCTAACTGCCACAAAGGGTCCCCACACTCCAGAATGCTCGCCTTGACTACTTCCTTCACTACTTCCTACGTCGTGGACCTGTTTCCCTCCCTTCCTATAGCATTTTAGTATTGCAGGTATATTAATCTAACTGTCAAAAAGGGTTTCTACTCTCCGGACTGCTCGCCTTGACTACTTACATCACCGCTTCCTTCGTCGTGGACCTGTTTCCCTCCCTTCCCATAGCATTTTCGAATTGCAGTTACACTAATCTAACTGTCACAAAGGGTTTCTACACTCCAGAATGCTCACCTCGACTACTTCCATTACCACTTCCAACGTCGTGGACCTGTTTCTCTCCCTTCCCATAGCATTTTTAGAATTGCAGATACATTATTCTAACTGTCATAAAGGCCCCCCACACTCCGCAGCGCTCGCCTTGACTACTCCCTTCACTATTTCCTTCACTACTTCCTACATCGTAGACCTGTTTCCCTATCTTTCCATAGCATTTAAGTATTACATATACGTTAATTTAACAGTCATAAAAGGTTTCCGTACTCCTTTCTTTTCACTGCTCACCTTTCCGCTTTCTTTACTACTCTCTACGTCGGGGTCGGGGACCTGTCCCCCCCCCCCCTTCGCATAGCATTTTAGTATAAAAATATACCAACATTTTTGAATATTTAATATTCAATGCCAACATTAAATTGAATAATGTTAAAAGCCGCTTTGTTCTAAATACATACATACCTATATACTTTTAATTAAAAAAGGCGAAATTTTAATACTGAACATAAACGGTATATAACTGCCGACTAATATTGTTAAGTTCAATTTATTATTATGAAAGTTGTGAGATTTAATTAGCTTAAATAACATTATTCTGACAGCTGTGAAATTATAATGATATATATTCATAGACGCCAAACTGTTTACTCCATGAATGAAAGAGCTTAGAGTAAAAGTCGTTCTCTCTGTCTTAAGTAGACAACAAAATTGTTGGTCGCAAAACGTAAACAAATAAAAAGAAGAAGAAGGTAGCTCCTAATGTTATTCTTATGGGACAAATTTACAAATGTTTTTTAAGTATTTTATAATTACTACTGAGCGGAATCGTCTAGAATTTTAATGGTGTCTTTACACTGGTGTCATAACTATTTGTGCAAAATTTGAACGCTATAAGTGCAACGGTTCTTGAGTTTTAGGTGCGAACACACACACACACATACTCCAGCGGACAACTTTTCTCCGACTCCGCTATACACGATACATAGATTCGTTCACTTCGTTCACTCATCTATTACCTTATTACCTCCTCTTCGTCTTTGACCAGCCAGGGCCGGATAGACAGTGTCAAAACATTAAAATAAAACATATTTACAACTTAAACTTTAGATGGAGGTGGGGGGGTCAAGAGTTAATGCTACCTCAAAAAACTCGTCAACCGAGTAGAACGGGTTTTGCAGGAGGAGGTCCTTTATCCTTTCCTTAAATATTTTAGGCTCTAGCTCTCTCAGGTGGAGTGGCAGGACATTGAACATATTTACAGCAACTGCGGGTAAGCTATCTCTTGTCAGGGACAGTCTATATCGCTGTGTATTCAGCTTCTGTGCTCCTAATATTGTAGGTGTGGAGCTGGCCTCAGAGTTCAAAATTGTTCAGGTTAAACAATTAAGTGTGTACGGATAATTTGTCTTAATGAATCATATACTATTTATCTTGTATCTCAAAAAAATTTCAGGGAAGACATCAGCCTATATTCTGAAAAAAAGAAGATTATTAATAGCAATACCTATATGGTAATACAGTACAAAAATAGAAATTATGGAGCCAAGTAACCCAACTCCATCAAATGAAAAACTGATTGATTCTTTAGTCTCTGGCATAGACACATGTAATTTAAACCTGGATGATTCGACTAATGAAGAAAACAAGCAAGAGAAAGATAGTGTTGGTGTAAAAGAATCAACAAACAATTGTGATGGTTCAGAGTGTAAAAATACGGCATCTGAAGTTCTTGAAGAAAATGACAGTGAAAATAAATCAGACAATGAAGAACAAATACCCACAACTGAGGATGATCTGGTGGACGAGCTAGCCATGAAAGACCTTGAACTAACATACACAGAAGAAGATAGACAGGTTTGTAAAATTATTGCTGTATCTGTTCTTTGTTAGTATTGTTTGGTTAAGAATGGGATAGACTCACACAGTTACTACTACGGTACAGTACTTGAAGTAATGTGACATAGGGGGTTTTCTAGTGAGCAGTCTGATAATTTCAGGAGTCTCACAACACTACAGGCTGGCTACCAGTGTGCGTAAAAGCATTTCCCTCCACTCCCTAAAAAAAACAAAAAAAAACTATGGTACCGTACAGTAGTTGTTTTAAATGGGTTAAGGTGCTCCCATTCTTCTCTAAATTGCTTGATTTATGGAAATATAATTGCAAAAACTGAAGCCTAGGCCTACTTGGAGCAATGCACAACATAAGTAGGCTAATTGTTTTGAAATCATACTTAAACATGTTTTAAACTTGTCTGTAGGGATAGGTTTCTAAATGTCATTCCACTGTGTTCTCATAGAAATCCAGTCCTGCTTTGACAAATGGAAATGATACTATTTTTAAATATCTCATAAGTTATTTAAGGAATTTAAAAATGAAGGAGGAGAGTCAAAGGAGTAATTTAGTGGAGCGGGATCGTTTGGGAATGGCATTCCCATTCTAGTTTTTCCAATAATTCTATAATATATCATCAGTGTTTAGTCAGTTCTCAGACGATGGTAAGAGATCTTAGTTTCCACACTAGAAATACATGCACAACTACATCACTGGTCTATATAGGCCTATTCATAAAACTAAGTCTTCCAGCACACCTTTTTTATCATACATACAATAACTCATATGCCTACTTTGAGTGTTTAAAAAGATCAGTTTGAAAAATGGATTAATTCCAACCTTTCTTTCATATTTTGCAGAGACTACAAAAGGAAGCAGAAGTTTTCAAACAAAAAGGCAATGAATTGTTTAAATCAGGGGAGTTCAAGGAATCAGCCCTGGCCTACACTCAAGCGCTTCGTACCTGTCCGCTATCATTCCAGAATGAACGGAGCATTTACTATTCCAACAGAGCTGCATCAAAAATGAAGCTGGTGAGAAAGTTTGACCGTCCATATTGACTGACTTAGAATAGCTAACTTATATTTAAAAAACTAATCATTGTTTGAAGTAAAATCTTCTGTTTTAATCTTTGCTTCCTCTATTGACACGTTTTTTACATAGAGAAAATAAATTTATGAACCCAGTAGGGAAGAAATGTAGAATTTTCCTTATAAAATGACTTTATGACTGTCGCCGTGTTGAGAAAACAATAGTAATTTATTTTTTATTCCCTTTTTACACTACCTATACTAAAAGCTTAGTAACATTCAAATAACAATTTTAAAGAGATACAAATTTAAATTTTATATCAGTTTAAAATGTTTTTATGCCAAATAAATTATTGTTCACACCACAGTAAAAGAGTAACTGTAGGCTGAAAAAACTAGGCTACGTATCGTAATCAATTTATCTCGTAATCAATTATATTGTTGACATGTTCTTTACAATTTGCTCACTTTCTATTCATAAAAATGTATAGTTAAAACGTTTTCAATAGAATTAATATTTTTAGATGATATTTTTGCGTAATTCTTTTTTTATCATCATCCGAATCGGCCCAACCTAGTTCATTTGGAAAATTGAAGCTCTACTTCAAGGTTTTTATAGGTTGAGTACCTATAACAACTATGTACAGTAGTTTACATACAACAATGATCCAAATATGCCCAAGTCAACAAAATACATTACTTTATGCTAAATCATTGATTCTGGTGTAAACATGTTATCTGTGTACATAAATAAAAAGCATTTATATTTTGTTTTAAGGAACTAAATGAGTCAGCTATTGAAGACTGTACCAAGGCCCTAGAACTGAATGAAAGGTATCTAAAGGCAATATTTAGACGAGCTCAACTGTATGAAGCAACTGATAAACTTGACGAGGCATTGGCAGACTACAAGAAAATCCTAGAAATTGATCCTTTGCACAGAGACGCTCTGTTTGCTTCTAAGGTAAGTTGTTATCAATTAATTATTGGCGACTCGTATTTAAGATTATTTAAGGTATAATACATTTTTTCTAATTTTTACTTTATTATGAAATTACTGAATGTGGTATGCCCAATTTACATAATCATAATGCATTTATTGTGCTAGTGCAAGAGAAATTCTGTGTGTTGCTATAATTTAACTGTGTCAATTTTGTTTTATTAATTAATTACATTATTCTCATAGTTAACTTACCTAATCATGAAAAAAAAATCTAATGACATTCAAGGAAAGTTGAAAGTTGCAATTTGTAATGTAACAGCATCACCTTCTGACAAGAGACTAAAAACAATAAAACAATTAAGAACTCACAATTCTTGATTTTATTAATCAAAGGAGCTATTAACAACTAACCAGAATTTTATATTGTCTTGTTAAGTACTGTTCGGACGTGAAAATCTGCAACTATACAGCAATACCATTGACTATTGGATACAGAAGTTGTTGTATTAATAGTCAAAGGCAATACATTGTATAGACCCATTTTTTTAAAAACCCTTTAATCTCACTTCTTGGATCATAGCGATCCAAAAAATCATCCGTTACTATTTGATATCCACTTACATTGTTAACATTAACATTAATATTTATGCATAAAGGTGTTATAATGCTGATTGGGTTCTGACACTTGATGTTACACTTGTAATTATAAGGCTCAATCGAAGGCTCTTACCCAGTCCCTGATTATTCTTTATTAAAACTAATAGGCAATCCAAATTATATAAATATTAAGACACTTGTCTATATTGTTTTGAAACGTTATAGATTTTGTGTCTAAAATGTTTATCTTTTTTAAAGGCTTCAAAAGGAAACTAGGGGACCATAGCAGCAATTGCTGCTTTTAGTTATGAATACAAATGGAAATTAAATACATGCTTCTTTTACACATTTAGTCACCGTCTTCCCCTAACACGATACATTTCAACACTGCATTACCATTCTAACCTAAAAACAGAACACTAAAATCAATAAACATACAAATACGCAATAGAAGCTTATAGAAACACTGTAGCAGTGCTTCCATTAGAAAATGACTGGAGCTTTGACGGCCTGTGGGGCAGAGCAAGGGTAAATTTTGACACTTCTGATAATTTTACCACCATCCTTGGACCTTAAGCTTTAAAATGAATCCTCAACAACCATGCTACCTTTTTCTTACGGAATTAAATATATAGATTTTTACGGAAAATCCCTTAAACTTTTTGATTTCTCACACAACTTGTTCTTGATTTTACAGAGACTGCCAGACCAGATTCAAGAAAGAAATGAAAAGCTGAAGGATGAAATGTTAGGTGAGATTTAACACATGGGTTGTTAGATATTTTTAGAGAATGGTTCTAGGCCAAACTTTGTGGTTGTTAGAGGTTAAATTTTAAGGTGCTAAATTAGTCAATGTATCTGGATTTTTCAATGATTGGGTTTTTAAATGGTGGGTCTATATTATCTTTTATGCAAGGTCAAATACGCTGCAATACTGAGCCAGAGTAATCCTGAGATACACGGAAAACCCCTCAAGCAAAGATAATCATGTGTTGTATTTGTGACCTTTGGTATAATCTCATGGCGGCCACACATGAAATCGCAGTCAAGTTCAGTTGTCAGATAGTGTCCCACTCAGACTGGACAGAACAGGATCTGTTTTACGAAGATAAACATGGAATGGCTTTAGTAAGTATTGATTGATCATCCTGAAAATGACGTCGTTATCTATCCTATGGAAAGAAACGGTTCCTGATAACATGGGGCATGTTGATCCAAACGTTACTAGAGCTGGATTCTTTAGTATTGTACAAATACAATCACCAGTAAGGATGATAACACCCCCTTAATTGAGCGAGAGATGTTCACGATTCCTATTAAACCTAATCTGTTCTTTATGTGATTTATTGCTGTACAAAGTTTAGTAATTTTTTTTGTTTAAGTTGTAATTTTACACGATACAGTTTTTATTACATAGCCAAGGTTATTAACTTGACATATCGTGATTGCGTAGTAGCCTACAAATTGTGTTTTGATGATGTAATAGAATGCAAATTATCGCACCAACGGCCATTTTTATATGCTTTAGGCTTTTCTATGAGTTTCTTATGTCATGTTGGATTAACCATGGTTTTAGTTATTCGTGGTCTCCCTTTACCTTTACCTTCCTTCGTGAACTTTTACCAGAGAAAACTGGATTGTTCATGTCAATAAAAATTAAAACAACACTTCCCTCCCCCCCCTCCATGACCCTGGATAATCGAGGCTCTACTGTAGTTCCTTTTGAAATCTGTCTCATTTCTTAAGAATAAGATTAACAGTTATAAAAATTTACTTTCTAGGCAAACTGAAAGACCTTGGCAACATGTTCCTGAAACCCTTTGGGCTGTCTACTGAAAACTTCCAGCTATCACAGGATCCCAACAGTGGAGGGTACTCTGTTAATTTTAAAAACTAGTTCATTTTGTTATAACTTGATTAATGCTCTATGTTTGTATATATACCAAATAAAATTTGATAAATTATTCCAACATCTTAATTTGCTACCGTACTTTTTTCTCCTATGCTAACATTTAGGTTTTAGTTGTAAGTCTAAAATATTGTGTTGATGCGTTTGTATCCTAATCATTTGAAATCCTGGTGCCTCATAATGTTAAAAGTACTGCACCTCTATAAGTCAAAAGTTTCAAATATCAAAGCTTGATAGCCTAAGTCTAACGTTTTTAGTTCAATAATACTTGACATCTATTACTCAAAGTTTCTCTTTCATGAGCCTCAATAACTCGGAGTTGACCATTGTAACTGGAAACTCTAGATGTGCCTTGATTACTCAAAAGTTCTATCCTGTACAGTGCAAGACAGCTGTGTTTTGATTCTTTTTGAACCATGAAATTTCATCTTTGTTTGGATAGTACAGTAAAACCTCAATAACTTGACAATTTGTGGACCCAGAGGTCGTCGAGATTGGGGTTGCCAAGTTATCCCTTAACCACGTGCACATGTTTTTTTTTATGCTAGAGCACGCGCCCCATTGGGCCCCTAAATTAAATTGGCTATAAAAAAGGATTTTTTTATATTCAGCTCTTTAAACCTTAGACGTAATATCTTTATTCATTTTCTCATATTGTTATGTAAATTTTATGGTACCATATCTTTTAATTGATTTGAAACTAATAGCTTGAACCCTTACTTTTTTCATCATGAAATATAATAATGTTGTTAAAGAGGGGAAAATTGTAGTTGAAGAAGTTTTTATTGCAAACAAATGTTATTTTTAATTTGACAAATGTATAATATTTGTACATGGAAACAGTAAATATTTCATGAATTAATACGTTTCCCGGTTTGTAGAAAATACTGTAAAAAAACTCTATGATTATGTATGTTTTTTTTTACATTCTCGTCCACAAATATTTTTAATTTCCCCCCGGAATATTGTTTTTTTATGTTTTACACTTAAATTTGGTTTTTGCGTCTTTTTGTCCAAGGCAGACGTGCCTTAGCACAGGGAGGCGAGATCAGTGGACTATATGATTGGACATTTCCATCCAATTGGTTTACAGGTAATAAGTTGTTTGGCAAACTTTCAATACTTTCAAAATTATAATGATAATAAATCTGAGACACTACTACTTGTGTGGGGTACACTGGATCCCCTAATTGTAACACAAGCACGGGCGTGGGAGTATGCCAGACCCAGGGGGGTGATAACAGGTCAATGACTTGGTCAAGACTAAATAGTGATGTGCGATACGTATCGTATCGTATCGGAATATCGCGATACGCGAGGGACGATACGATATTTCGATACGATATTTGAAAAACGATACGTATCGTATCGCCTAAAACGATATTTGTATTTATATCGGCACATAGAGCGATACGATTCATGTCAAAACGATATTTTTTTGCGCAGGCCGAGCAAACTGCAAAATCTGTACTCTGTGGATGTGTAGTTTGAAATAGGAATTTTTGACGTCTGTATTTTTGGTTTTTACTTTATAATGTACCAGTCCCATCCCAGTCCAGTCCATTTCCACTAGCGTTCTATCTAGCACTAGCAGTGCAGAGTGTGGGAACTGTCTGTGGCAATTACATTAATGTGTCTGCAATGCTAAAATGCTATGGGAAGGATAGGGAAACAGGTCCAAGACGTAGGGAGTTGTGAAGGAAGGAAGTAGTAAAGGCGAGCAGTGTTGGAGTGTGGGAATGGATTAATGTATCTGCAATACTTAGACTGTTTTCAGAGTAAACTAATGATTTTCCCTGAGCAAAGCTCGGTCCCCAGGTACTTATATAAATTTGCCGTATCTAGGTTAGGTAGGGGAGGGGGAAAACGATACGATACATATCGTTTTTTCGATATTTTTGACGATACGATTCGCGTATCGCGATACAGACGTCCGATTCGATACGGCGATACGATATTTTTTTCCGATACGTATCGTATCGCTGTATCGCGATACGCGTCCGTATCGCCATTGACTATATAACACTACTAGATTGAAGACTATGCGGGAGGACGCGTGAACAGGAAATTTCTACAATGTACTGTGTTGTGCACGGTGGATGCACGTAGTACTGACCCCTCTACTTAGATCGCAGCACCGTCACCACGAAGTTCATGGAACCGTCGCCTGGCGCGCTGCAGTTGCTGCCAACTGGACTGGACTGAGCTTAGCGGCGGACTAGACTAGACTAAACTGTTGGACTAGACTCGGCGATGCGGAGTGAACGATTGCCCGCGCTCGCGATGTACTCGGCAGCGGGCGGCGGCGCAGCTGTGTGAATGCGATGTAGGTCATTGCTCCTGATGTAGTAGGCTACTGCTGCGCGCGCGATACCGCGTTATGTTTACTCATTTGCACGTACCGTTTGTATGCTTGGTACGGTACGAGTTTATTCAGGAGGGTATAGCAAATCTTTGACAACTTATTTTTAATTTCTCCCCATATTAGTTAGTACATGGATAAAGTATTGTTTACCCCAACATTTTCGAGTATGAGTTTTGAGTGGATATATCCACTGAATTGATGTCTGAAATCACCGAACGATTTTGAAAAATAGTACTGTAGTATGTTGTAACCCTTTAAATTCAGAACAAAATAGTATAACTCCAATTTCTGTAAAAATTACGGTTAAAATTCCATTATAAATTATGGTATTTCAACAAAATATCCCTTAATACAAGAAACAAATCTTAATTTCTAAAAAAACCATGTTTAAAAAAAAAAAAGGATTTAAAAAAAAAAATTAATTCTGATTGATTGAAATTCTTCTGTGATGGTCCTTATAATTCTAAAGCAAATAGTGCAAAATGTATTCATTATAAAAATTGTCATCGTAAAAATCTTTAAAATTAACAACGCTTAGTGAAGGTTAGCAATTTCTTTACTCCAAACAAATAATCGAAAGATACATTAAATTAACAGAAAATGATTTCTTATTTGCTTATGTACAGTACAAAGAAAACTTGTTGAGTCCAAACTGTTTGGATCTCCCAGACTGTAAAAACACCCCCGCTGCAGAGTCAATGCCCACAGGGACGTGACCGCGAGGATATCTCGGCTTTTGTAAGCTGGGGTACGGTGAAAGTTTACGATCCCTCGTTTATGGCCCTATGATTTAGCAAATGAAGACCCCACATCGGCAGCTACAGACAACCCAATGTATAAAAATATAAAACACCCTGGTCAAAGATTTGGTTCTGCTGTATACAAATAAATGCTTGTTAAATGCGTTAAAAGAAAATATAGGCCTACTCCTACATACGCTGGGGTTCTCGTTATCTGGTTTGAAAAATAATGTGACAAATCTGCATTGCAAAATAATTCAGGCATTTTGCATTACACTTTCTACAAAGTGATGTGATACTTAAATTGAAATAGTGTTAAATGAAATAAAAAAAAATGTGTAAAAATAATATTTATTACGTATAACCATGAATATAATTAGTGTAAATAGTAATGAAAAAGTCAAACATATGTAACATATGTATCAAACATATGTAAATATAACATATGTAACATATGTATCAAACATATGTAAATATATTTAAGCATTAACTGAAAAGTTAACATTTAACAGATGCTACTTTCCTTGTACGGCAATAACAGTTGTGTTTCAAAGGTGTCTCCAGTAACTCAAGTATATACAACAACGGAAAGTGTTGTAATCATAAACAATACATCTGTGTTCTACTGGTGTTGAGGAATCAAATTAGGGTTATTTAATTGTATAGTACGTAAATACTTTTCAATAAATTAAAAAAATAAATGTTTGTATTTTAGTCTAAAAAATGCTAATAATTATCTTATTACTAAAATATAATATGATATATTGCTGTATTGGATTTAAGAGTAAAATGAAGACGTTATGTAGTGATAATCGTGTCTGTCTAGAGGTATCAAAACATGACATAGATGAACTATTGAGTCGTATTGGTCATTGTTCAGTCTGATGGGTACTTTCCTGTTAAAGGGAACACTCATTATTATCGATGATTTTTTTCTCGATATATCGATGTTTTTGTTTTCCGATCCATTACAAATTGACAACAACTAACTGATCTTGTTTAGGCTAAAATAGTCTATTATATGGATTAAGAAATGAAACTGTTCTAAGCTAACCTAACATAACCAACCAAACTTGCTGTACCATTTAAAAAATTTCGTTTGGGTTTGAATATAAAAGGCAAGTTATAAACACGGAATGTTTAAATGTTACAGCAAGTTTGGTTAGTTGTGTTAGGTTATTTTTTTTTTAGAACAGTTTCATTTCATTAATGTTTGTTGATACTGACTGCACAATATTTTTCGTAGTTGTCAGCTGATATGTTTCAATTTGTTAATATCGATATATCGAGAAAAAAATCATCGATAATAATGAATGTTCCCTTTAACAGGAAAGTACCGTATGGGTAACTGTTAATTGTCAAACTTATTTCGGTAATATCATTGACTATATAACACTACATTTTATATATGTAGTGTTATATAGTCAATGGTAATATGTTTTATTTTCTATTTTTTACAATATTCAGGTTTTACATTTAATTCGGTAATTTACAATATTCATTCCGCTAGGACCACTTGTCATTCAGCTAGGGCTTTTAGCAGGGTAATAAAAGTTTCTCTTCTGTGAACGCTTCCCTCGCCAGTCCTTGGAAATTTGTAGTCCCAATCTTGGGTGAGCGAGGTTTCTTTTTCAAAGCGTAAAAGATTAGCATGCAAGAATGATGCAAGTGTTTTATATTTTATTTTTATACGAACAATGGTTTAAAAAATAAAGAATTGTAAACGTTGTTCTGCTGTATGTACACAGTGGAGAAGTATACATGCGAAATGTCAATTCTATCTCTGAAATCACCAAACAAAGGATATTGTTTAGGTAATGAACTTCAATTATGTATGAAACACACTTGTGATCACCATGTTGGGGGTGAAGGTCGTTTCGGATTTTTAATAGTTTGTAATATATTCCCGCTGTTAAAAATTTCAAATAACCATTTTGGTTATTTTTTCCCATTGATTTGTGAAC